ACTAACATAAGGCTACTGTGGAAGTGCCCATTTCGGTTACGACGACATTCGTTTATAAGGACACTATTTTTAGGTCCCTTTGATGACGTTATAACCAAGTTCTACTGTATCTATATAGAAAATGTGAATAGTAATCCACATTGATTATCCCAATTTCATTATGCCTGGCAGAAGAATGTGATTTATATAAAACTGACGGATTTCTTAAAAGGTTGTATTCCACTCCCCCTTTATAAATGGCCACTCTTAACAGAACCATTAAGACTGCTGCGGAAATTCTTCCTTATTCCAATTTAAAGTGTATATTCATGGACCTCTGAATGTGAAATGTTATCACAGATGGGTAAATTTTCTTGAACCTTACCTATGTCAGATAATTTACACTTTTTAAAATTTCCAACAGCAATATTAACTTGCCAAAAACTACAATCTGGTACTAATGCTTCAGCAGGCAAGACAATCAAGAAACAGCAAAGAGAAAATATTACACTATAAAAATAAATAACATGCTACAACACAACAATCAAGGGAAACAGGAAAGAATACCACGGAGATGTCTCTTGTGACCTCACAGCAAAGTGTTACATAAGCTGAGATCAAGCATGGCAGGTAGAACAATCCTCCTTAGAATCCAAAGCATGCCCAGTTTGGAAGCAAAAACAGTTACAGTTTCTCGCACCTTGGTCTCTGTTGGTTGAATGATCAGGCACCTGGACTGGTTTAACCAACTCACTTGGCTGCTTTGCTAAAGAACGAGTATCTCTGTGCAAGCCCATTCCTTGGGCAACAGCACTTGGAAGACCTGTGATTGCCCCCATCGCACCATATGCGCCTGGGTACTGCGTTAACCCAGGACCCACAGGTCCAAGTACTGGATGTGAAAAACCTCCAGTCTGATGGTACGCTGTTGAACCAAGGGCAGCAGGAACAGACAGCTGAAGAAGAAAAAAAGCACAAAAATCTCATACAACTTCTTGACATTGTTTATCATCACATTACAGACAATTACATCAGAACTTCTTAAGCCTACTTCAAATTCCTCACTGTCCCAACATATTTCATCATACGCAGTATCATCCCCAGGGTACATACATACAATACTATGTACATTATAATGGTGCACAACCCAGCATAAAAATATTTCTTGGCATATTAGTCTATGCATCATGTTCCAGTCTGCTGACTTATTTTCAAGCAGCTACCACAAGAAATATGTCTGACAACAGAAGATCTGTAAGGTGCAAAACTTTTCCGAATCTAAAATGGTCATGCAACCATATTTTCCTTCTTGTTCATGATACTGAAAATACAATGTCTGAAGTTCATACACACTTTCTGTAATAGCAGCAGCAAAGAAGGCAATTCAATGCAGTCCAACAAAAAATATAACAAGAATCAGTCTATAAAGTACATCCCTGATAATACATCCTCAGGGAGGCAAAAGAGATAAAAAAATGGAAAAACATGGATAATCCAACTTTCAGGTGTGGCTGAGATATAACGGTGATGACCAAATATGGAAATTCATAAATGTACACAAAGCAGCCAATTTCTTCAATCATCCAGAAAACTGTAATCTTAGTGGAAAGAAAGAATATAAAATATGTTACATTTTTCTCTACAACTTCTGTTCAAAACATTCTGGACTCCAACAAATATTCAACAAGTTATACTTGAGATACACACAGAATTGCATATACGTGGTAGGCTGAAAAGTAATACACACATGCTTGTAGAGCGCAAACAAAAACAAATAGCAAGATCGGGCAAAAAGTACATTAAGTACAATTCTTAAGTTTCAAAAGCATATATTTATTTTTCAATGTAGTCACCGTTAAGGCTAACACATTTCTCCCAACGTGTAACAAGTTTTTTCATTCTGTCACCGAAAAATTCTTCCGACTATTCTCAAATCCAGGACTTGACATCTGCCTTCACGTCATCGTCCAAGGTGTAATGATTACCCTTGAGGTCTCTCTTGAGTAGAGGAAAAAAATAAAAATTGCAAAGCGCAAGGTCGGGGAATAAGGAGGGTGTGGGATCGGTTCAAACTTCAGGTTTCGCAGAGCCTCTTCAGTTGCGCACGAGGTGTGTGGACGAGCGCTGTCATGTTGCAAGATTATTGATGCCAGGCTGCCTCTAACACGACAAACTCGACGCCGGAGGTGTTTTAGAGACAGTATGTACTGAGAAGTATTTACCATTGCCCCTCGTTCCAGAAAATCGGTCACATAAACTTGGTGAGTATCCCAAAACACAGTCAAAAGAAGTTTTTTGGCGGATGGTCGTGTTCTGAACTTTTCACCTGAGGAGAAGATGGATGTTGATATTCAGCGCTCTGTCTTTTCTCTTCTGGGTCGTAACGATGGACCCATGACTTGTCCCCCGTCACAATATTCAAAAGAAAGTCGTCTCCTTCATCACAGTAGCGCTGCAAAAGTTGCTCGCAGCATTCCAATCAACGCTGTTTGTTCTCGTCTGTGAGATGGCGTGGTACCCATTGTGCACAGATTTTACGGTATCCCAACTGTTCAATAATGAAGCCGACACGTTCCTTGGATATTCCAATATGGTTTGCGATACGCTTTTGAGTGATTCGCCGGTCATTTTGAATCAAATCGTCGACGAGTTTGAGATGATAATCGTCTGTGGCAGTGCTCGGATGTCCGCTGTGTGTTTCATCAACAATTATGGCTTTTCCAGGCTCACAACCATGAAATTTTATTACCCATCGATTTACAATAGACCTATCAACAGCATCGTCAACATAAACAGCCTTTAAGCGACGATGAATCTCAGTAGGAGTCACTTTTTCAGCAGTTAAAAATTTGATAACAGCACGCTGTTTAACTCGCTTTGACATAGCACTAGAACACGTCTCCATACTTCCGCTTCTCGAAATACACTGGATGAACGCAACGACCTCAAACCTGTGCATGCGTATTGAGGGGGGAATGTTACTTCCACATGCCACCTGGCAAGCTTCTGAAGGTCATTTCATTCGCGCTCTACAACCATGTGTGCATTACCTTTCAGCCTACCTACGTAGATCTTGTAATGTGGTTGTTAAAACTGATCTAAACTGAAATTTAAATGGCCTGACAATTCTTCATAAAATTCTCCAACATCAAATTTCATGAAAACCTGTCAAGCAAGTTCTACAGTTGTTTCATGCAGGAACACTGTCAAAACTTAACATACAATGCAAGGGGTTGTAATGTGGCAAAAGAGACAAAACAGGAAGTTTAAAATCAGCTTCGTGTCAGCCCTGTGGCAGGTGTATGTTTACAGAGCCCAATGCATACTAAATTCACACTCGTGTAAATCAAATATTCTTGTTTACAAGGGTTGCAATAATAAAATGCTAAATCACAGCAGGAAGTCACACTTTTATGTAAAATACCAAAATAGATTACTTTGTAGCTGCTACCAAATTAAACACATGCAATGATTCCAAGTGATCTCAGGCCTGCCACTATCCAGGCATATGAGATACTCTTGGTAACTGCATCCGTACTGAGTCTGCTTTACCATCTTCCCTTTCTGTCCTTGTTCTGCTATTTCCATTTGTCCCTGATATATATTCAGATTGCTGCAAACTGACAAGGTGTGAAGGAAAGAAAGTTTGACACACCTCCTTCCTAGTCAGACCATGGAGTCTGACTGCTAGTGGAATTCACAAGCCTCAGAATAGCATATGCTGGAAATGCTTGCTGCTGCTATTTTGTTAGGGGAGTTGATTTTTATCGTTACTTGATAACACAGAGCTAATCAAAATGCTGAGTGACCACTGAAGAGAAATTGGATGAATATTCTGTTCAACAACCTTGCACAGGAGATTAGTCTGTGTGCATTTTGACTGTAATCTCAAGCCCTGTTGTGTTGAACATTCTAACTTCTTGTTGCTTTCTGTGTCTGAAATGACATGTAAGATTTACTCACTGAAATGAGTGTTCACATATCATACCCATGTGAAAAGTAAGGGAACCATTTCTGCAGTTTGTAAGATTTGAGGTTTTCACGGCAGTGACTGTGTTCTGGGATGTAGTGCCATGTAGAAATTGTGTTAACTCACATTCCTCCAAAATGTCAGTCAACACAATTTCTACACAGTGCCACATCCCAGAAGACAGCTTTCTTCATTTCCCCTGTTTCTTTTTTCAAACAGATTTCTGTAAACTGCACTCTATGTCTTCACCCTCAGGTACATGCCTACTCAGATGGGCCCAACCAGCAGTGCTAAATAGGAGACAGGCTAGATCTCCTTATTTTTCACATGGGTATGATATGTGAACACCTGTCACAGTAGTCGCACAGTCTAAGGCATGAAATGTCTTCGCTCACTCGGACACTGAGATTATGGGTTTGAATCTCTCTCAGGGCATGAATGTTTGGTGTGTTTATTCTGTGTTTGTGTTGACCTGTGTAGGTAGCGGCCTTGCGACATGCTGATAACTCATCCAAGGAGTTCTACCATCTGTGAAAAATGATTACGGAATTCTATAAGCGGCCTGAGCCATGAATGGACTGGGAGAGCCACTGAAAAAAAAATGTGAACACTCATTTCAGTGTATAAATCTCACATGGCATTTCAGACACAGGATGCAATAAGAAGTTTGATGAATGTTCAAAACAGTAGCAGGGCCTGAGATTGCAGTCAAAATGCACACAATCCAGTCTCCTATGCAAGGTGTCTGAAAGATACTTCAACAGAATATTCATCCAATTTCTCTTCGATGGTCACTCTGCATTTTGATTAGTTCTCTTTTGCCAAGTAATGATAAAATAAACCCTGTTAACAAAACAGCAGCAGCAAGCATTTCCAGCATACACTGTAATGCAGGCATTGCTATGGCAGAGGCTCGCAAATTCCACAAGAAGTCGCTCTCCATTTCCTGACTAGCAAGGAGTATTGGACGCTTCCACTTATGCACCTCAACTTTTTACAGTAATGTTATATTTTAGCATCCTGTTGCACTGATTTATGTCCATGATTTATTCCAACCGTCTTACAGTGCATACATTTATTCACCTTACTCTTCTCTCTTGCACTACATGTTTCAGCACTAAAGTGCCATCTTCAGGTGCTTTTCGATGTACGTCAAACTACTTCATTGCATGCCCTGTTGTCTTTATACTAAAATATATATTCATCATATATATTGATAAATTTTAAATATTAAAAATATTAAANTTTAGTATACAGACAACAGGGCATGCAATAAAGTAGTTTGACGTACATCGAAAAGCATCTGAAGATGGCACTTTTGTGCTGAAACATGTAGTGCAAGAGAGAAGAGTAAGGTGAATAAATGTGTGCACTGTTAAGACGGTTGGAATAAATCGTGGACATTTTTACAGTAAATTACAAAATTATCACAGTGTATAACTTAAATGTACATCAGAGAGAAAAAAAATGGTTCAAAGAAAAGGTATGGATCTAAAACTAAAAAATGTTTATATAGTGAGAAAATTTTTTGGAATTTCAGGATTTATTTACATACTGATTTTGTGAATGATTCACGAAATAAATTACAGACTTGAAGACAAAACCTCTTACCACCCCCTTTCAATCAACCCACTCGCTGCTCTCCATATCAAACATGACAAATTTTTACAAAACATTAAGATCCAAATGATGCAGCACAGATTTAAATCCCTGGTATCATAAGGGGAAGCACAATACATCACTGTAGGTCGCGGTGCAAGGGCCGAGAAGGCCCATTCGTTCATAAAACCTTGGTTCAAAGAAAGAAAACTTTATACCCAATCCCAAAATAAACATAAGTAGAACAGATTGCACATTCCAAACATTCCACTCCAATCCCCCAACAAAATCCAATGGACAAACAGCAATGTGCATGTCTTAAATGTGTTCTCTGCAATTATTATACCAAAAGCACTTTTCACTCAAAATGTCTAATTGAAACTGCACATAAACCATACATGCTCTTACCTGTACAATTGCTGGATCGTTTGGTACATTCTGCAAAGGCCCAACATTGTTCACCACTCTTATGTCTTTTATGTCAGAACCCCTGAATAAAATGTAGTCATAGACCTGATTCTGTGGTGCTATGGGGTATTGTGTCTCACGATCCTCAGTCCCGAAGGAACGAACTGTTAAGAAGAAAAGTATTACATGTGGAAGTTTTCGTAAAGCAGTCATAATACCTTAAAAATACGAAAAAAGAACTGTCAAAAATTTGACATTACATATGTAAAAACGAATCGAATTAACGAATGACAATACTTAAGATACATTTAGTGTTTCCACACACGTATCACATTAAATCAGTCATGTGCCAACGACAATGGTTCTATTCATTCGACGAATCCAAACACTGAAACCCAATGCGGCGTAGGTACGTCCTTTTTCCCACTTACCGCTTGACAATGCAATTGTGCATTCCTGAGGATCAACTGTAAATAATCGTCCTTCATAACGGATATCTGCTTTCGATATCAAACTTATTTTACTGCCGAGTTCGGGCATTCCCGTACTCATCTTAACAGAGTCTTGTAACACCGGGATTGCTCTGATATTTACGGAATCACTTCACCATCTGCACGATCTCTACTAAAACCCTTATCTAATACCTCTAATACCGACAAAAATGGCGTACAGTACATTTGTGACGTCAGAAAAGGTGACCAGATGGCGTCTTGATATTTCTAATTCCCTATATTCTTAAATCACGAATGAAGATTGCAGACATTTATTTATAATTTCTAATTATGCAATATTTACTGTCAGTATAAGTGTAGGGAAATTTAATATTAATCGATTTATTATTATGACTTACTTATTAGTACCTTCTCCTCATAATGGCGGCTAGCGTGAGAAGAATTTGCGGAGCTGGTATTTTAAAAACGAATCGTGGTGCTGTGCGGCATCAGGTATGCCGCTGATTTAATTTATAGCATACATTTGGTTCCCCTCACATATGGTAAAAAGTCTACTCTGAGAAAAGATTATTATTAAACTGTACAGATCTCTAGTATGTTATCGGTATTGGGATTCGGTGGAGGTTAATATATTCATAAGCGTTAATTTAGAGGCAGCTGTATTTACTGAACAATTATAATTAGCCTGTATTGTATGTCTGTGTATCTATCTATCCATCTGTTTATTCCTGTTGCTCCCACTTAGTGCATAGGGCATCCGTGAAAGGCTTGTTTCACTTCAGTTTCTTGATCTTAAGACAGTCGGTAGGACTCCTTAGATGGGTGATCAGCCTGTCACAAGGCCGCTACGTACACATAAACACAGAATAAACGCAAACATCATTGCCTTGAGTGGGATTCGAAAGCACGATCCCAGTGTTCGAACGGGCGAAGACATTTCATGCCTAGACCGCGCGGCTGCTGTGATCGGCACCCCATATTATTGAGCTTTCTTGGTGCGAAATATTTCGGTATTATGATTATATTTGCTATAGTGGTATGGTAATATGCTGGCGCTTGTAATGATTCTCATTACTCTGCATTTATAGGTTAGCAGTTTCTCCACAGCACGATTTAATGGCTGGGCAAAAGGACGTAAAACGGTTAGTACGACTTGACATAAAACTTGATATTGAATGACCTAATTATGATATAAATTTTATGGTCATCAAGGGTTCCAGTCATGCTTATCTGTTTTTTTTAACAGCTGTTTGCAACACTAGGGATTGTCACAGGTGGAGCAGGTACTCTTCTGTTTGCTCTTGATCAGTCAGTCAAAGCTACAGAACTTGAGCTTCATCCACCCAAAAATCCGTGGAGTCATAGTGGTTTCTTTTCTTCACTTGACCATAGCAGGTAATTACCATTATTTTGTTGCTCTCCACATATTTCTGACATTACTTAAAAGACTGGTTTCAGTCCTACACCACTTTCTACATTGGTGTTGGCAGTCTGGAAACAGGTAATAGGAGTAAACAGAGGGGCATACTATTGATTCATTTAATCCCATAACACGCATGTTTCTGGTGTAATACTGGGCTTTTACTCCAGACTCTTCATTTGAAGTGTAACAGACCTCATGAAAATGTATGCTATATCTAACTATAATGTTTGAGAGCCAATGTAAAGAGTACCCCCACCCTTCCTCCTATAGGCTGCATGGTGGTATGTACTACCTGTTCAGAAACATTCACAAGCAAAGCACAGATAGGCTATTCTCTATATGCTAACTTTGCCCTTTGCAAATCACATGATGAATGCAGTCTTTCCATATGTGTGGCATAACCTGATGCGTTCAATTATCTGTCACTTTCATTCTTCGAGTAGAGTGAAGCACCTATTTTTTTTCTGGCTTTGTCATATTTCACCTTGCTTCATATAATTCCAATTGTAGGGGAAAGTCTCAGAATTTGTTTCTAGATAGTGCAGCCATCTTGTCAACTTATACTGTTGGCACTTGGATAAGATGGATGCTAAGATGCAGTCCAGTAGTTCCCATTTGTTATAATTGTTGTAATAGGATATGTTATGGGAATGTAACCAATCCTGGTCACCAGTCTTCGTATACAGTTTGGTTGATACCTTGTCCATCATAATTGTAAGATATGGTGCATTGTCCATGATAAGAAAAGCATTCACCTCAAGTATGGAAGAACTTAATCAAACCACTCTTCATACCTCCTTCTAGCCATCTCTTCATGACACTTCTCTGTAAATTCCAACTCAGTGATAGGTAGACCTTCTTCCATAAGTCCCATAGTCGACCCACTTAGAAAAGCATTGTGCTGCTAGTTTAAATGTTATGTTGGTAATCAGAATTACCACTAGGGTTTTTAAGTCCCATAGTCAATCCAGTTAGAAAAGCTTTGTGCTGCCAGTTTAAATGTTATGTTGGTAATCACAATGTGTGTAGTGTTTATCAAAGCAATAGGACATTTTTATTTCCTGTATTTTTTCATATTCTGAGGTACTTTCTCCATCATAGAACAATGGCATCTCCCTTTATCAGCAGGTATTCACAGTATCTTTGTGTGTATTTAAACTGAAGTACTGTCATCAGCTGATGTAAAGTGCTTCATGGAGAACTGGGCAGCCAGACATCCATGTTTGCTTCACCAAAATTTTGTGTAATTTAGAGATCTCATTTTTAAGTAGAACTGGTGCACATTTGCAGGAACTGCACACTTTATGAAATCGTGATATTTATCACACAGTTGTGATATGGGCCTTCATGGCCTGGTACAGGGATAGCTTTACTTTTATGTCCCCCCCTTAACTTTGGCCTTTTGATTGTAGTCTGTATGTAGTGGTTTTTGGTTTGTTAGTTATTTCTGATGTAAGATTTGTTAGTCATTGTAAAGCCATTTCAAGGTTCTTAGCATTAAAGTTGCTGAAGATATTAGTGTACAAGTTTAGTGACAACTTCAGAGGGGTTTTCCTTCCTTGTTTTTTATCATACCTCCTCCTGCCATAGCTAAGTAACCTTGAATTTATTTGACTGTTGTATACACTTATTACTACTCTGTAAACACATGTTCTTACACTAAAACTGAGCTGTGGAACATTGTATTAACACTACAGCACACATCTCATATTGGAAATGATTCAAACCGATGTACGTCATAAGGTCAGTATTGTAGTCAGCAGGAGTCTCCGCCAGTCTAAGATACAGCTGTAACCCCTGCTACTTCAAAATATAGGAATATGGTTGTGCCCTCAAAGAATATTGTTAAACTTATGGTAAAAAAGAAGGTAAAGTTGTCCATGTGCTTAACTAATTAAATGCTATACCATGAAGATGTATGAGGGAGTGGATGTGTTTTCTTCACCTCGGCATTAGTTGGAGTTGAGTGGTAAGCTTCATGCCCCAGCCACTTTACCCCTAGGGAAAGAGTCACTGGTACCCATCAGATAGTAGGCTGGGTGGGCCTCGCGGTCATTCAGCCCACAGCCATTCGCTATACCAGCTGCACTAGCTCAAGTCATACTAAGCTTATGACTGACAGTTATGGTTAATAGCTGTATCTAGTGGCTTATGTCACCAGATGGAACTATACAGAGACAGATTTCTTACTCTGATATGTTTAAAATGACGAAAGTATTGTATATGGGTTCCATTCCTGTAACAGCCCTCTCCCACTCAACTGACCAACCTTTCTTAACAGTTGTATTGTCAGCTTTCCCTTCCGACGTTGTTGAATATATAATAGTACTTAGATGGTGACCATGTTAGGTGGGTCCCTCGTCACCACGGCATGGCGCATCCTCAGGTGGCAGATGGAGGAGACACCCTCCAGGTTTGGAGAGAGGCTGCAAATGTATTGAATAAGCAGTTGCGGACAGCTGACAGGGAGTGGTCCTGCAGCTTGGTTTGGCGAGGGGCTAACAACTCCTCACTGTAAAAAATAAGCTTGTTACAAAAATGTTCATAAAGCTTCAGACCTGGACAGATCCTCTGGATAAACAACCTAGGCCAAAGAAAATGGACATGAGATTCATTACTTGGAATGTTAAGGATCAAGTCAAGGAGAATGAGGTGGGCAGGGCATGTAGCACGAATGGCATAGAAGAGGAATGTGTATAGGATATTGGTGGGAAAGCCAGAAAGAAAGAGACTGCTTGGAAGACCAAGGCATAGGTGGATGTAGAATATTAAAATGGATCTTAGAGAGAGAGAGAGGATGGTATGGTATGGATTCAATTGATCTTGTTCAGGATAGGAACCAGTGGAGGGCTCTTGTGACCATGGTAATGAACCTTTGGGTTCCATAAGATCCTGGGAAATTCTTGAGTAGCTCTATAATTTGCGGCTCCTGCTCACGCTGTTTCGCTCACGGATTTCTTCTTGTCTTCAACCCTGAAGATGGAGGTGACACATTCCTCCGAAATATCGGTTAACACAATATCTACGCGTCACCACATCCCAGAAGACTGCTTTCTTCATAGTCACCACCATGAAAACCTCAAATCTTACATACTGAACATAGAAAGTCCCCATCTTGTGTTGAATTAAAGTCTCTTGGAATCTAATTTCATATATGTTTATTGTTTATTTAATGATGCTGTCAGTAGCGTCAAATGATTGCATGGTTAGTGAATAATGAATCTGAAAGCTTATGGTAGGAAGCAGTGATGACATCATTTGAGGTACTTGCCCCAGCATTTGCCTGGAGGAATTGAGGAAAAGAATGAAAAATCTAGTTCTGGGTATTTGGCACCCTAGCCAAGATTTCAACTGGTACCTCACATATACAGGGTATCCCAGGAAGAATGGACCAAACTTCGGGAGGGTGTTCCTTATGTTAAAGTATGCCGATATAACCCAAAACACCTATGTCCAAAGTTGAACAGCTACGGCGATAATGGCCAGAGAATTGTCAAACTTTGACCGGCGTTGCACACTTGTTGATTATAAAATACATATTAAAACTGGCAGGAATATGTGGATTCTGTAATGTTAATAATGTACGTAACATCAAACTAACTTGTGAGTGACATGAAGCCATAAAATTGAAGTATAAAATACTTGCTCGCCATGTCATAATTGTCCTTAGGGTTTCCAAGCACTATACATGACACATGACTGGCGAGCGCTGACATAACGTGCTGACTGCGCATTCTGGTATAAGCCAACTACATAAGTACGGCTAGGGTGAATCACAGCACTCAAGGACAAACACAGATAAGGCCTCTCAGCTGACAGGTACAGTGCGTGGACCCGCCAGAAGATCACACTTTTCTTGGGCCATTATCTCTGTAACCGTTCAACTTTGGATATAGGTGTTTTGGGTTATATCGGCATACTTTAACATAAGGAACACCCTCCCGAAGTTTGGTCCATTCCTCCTGGGACATTCTGTATAAGTTAGAAGTGTTACTTCTTGGGACCGCCTCTGTGGGCTAGTGGTCAGAGTTCCTAGTTACAGATCCAGAGTTCCCAGTTTCGGTTCTCGGTGCTACCAGATTTTCTGAGAAGTAGTGGGTCTGGAACAGGGTCCACTCAGCCTAGTGAGGATAATTGAGGAGGTGTTTCACGGAAATGGCGGCTCCAGTCTAGAAAACCTAGATTAACAGCCCTGGGGATTCATTGTGCTGACCACATGACACCCTTTATCCATAAAAGTTGCCACTAACTTCACCGACAAGCAGCAGTCGCTCAGTCAGTAGTTCTCTTGTGGACTACACGGAGTCTAATTTAGTGTTACTTCTTGAGCCATCTTACCTCAGTGAAATTAATATATTTTCATTAACATTTCTATAATTAATTTTTTGTTTTTTGAAAGAACACAGTTCTTAACAATTGTAAATGGTTTTCTGAAATGGTATGCTTTGATTTGCAGCATTCGTCGTGGCTATGAAGTATATAAACAAGTATGTGCTGCATGCCACAGCATGAGATATATTGCATATCGTAACTTGGTTGGAGTTTCCCATACAGAAGCAGAAGCGAAAGCAGAAGCCGAAGAAGTTCAGGTGAGTATACTTTGAGAACATCTAGTGTAGTACACAGTTATGCCTTCAGTGTTCATTGAGTATATATTTGTGGGAAAGCCAGAAGGAAAGAGACCACTAGGAAGACCAAGATGTAGATGTGTACAATGTTAAAATGGATCTTATAGAGATGGGATGGGGTCGTATGGACTGGATTGATGTGGCTCAATATAGGTACCAGTAATGGGCTCTTGTGAGCACAGTAACTAACGTTCATTCCATAAATGCTGGGAAGCTCTTGAGTAGCTGCACAACTGGTGGCTTCTCAAGAAGGTCTCAGCTCCATGAAGTTAGTTGTGCTCATGGAGTATACAGGTAGTTCCTGCTCTTATGAAAAATGGTTATGTTTAGGTAGGGAGTTCATAAAGCAAACTTCCATAGTGTGAGTTTCTGTTTCCCATAGGTGCAGTATTATAATTGGTGGTTACATTACAGAGTGTTCAAGAAATGGTCAGACAGAATATAAATCATCAGTTTTTTGCCTTAAAGAAACATTTAAGGATCAGAAACATACCAGATTTTGCTATAAACCCATGCTTTCCTAACTTCTTTAGTGCTGACACTCTATGTAGGTAGAAAATACAATTCAACACCCAACCCAGAATGTTGTTTTTTTACATTAAATTGTTTAAGAAATTTAGTTATTACATATGCCTTCCATGACTAAGCTAAATAACACCAGTGAGTGACCAAATGGGTATTTTTGAACAAGAGCAGAAAGAAAGTAGTATTTTTGTATGGCTTATTTAATACAGGCAACAGATAACAAATTTTACGTTCATATATAAAAAAAATACTGTAAAGAGCATCTAAAATGCAAAACAGGTGTCTTCCTTTCTCACCTGAAGACAGTTTCCGAAACATCGTGTCCTCTATTACCTAGAATTCCAGACGATGGAAAAAGTCCAAAAAAACCCAGTAATTCTGCGTGTCATCCACCATCGTCAGAACCCTTTAGAATCTCCTGGTCACTTCCTGTCCTTCCTCTCTTACAGTACTGCCTTCTTATATAGAGCCACTTAACTTCTGTACATGCAGTTCTGTTAAATGACCTATGAATTATCCAACCAGTCAGTCGTAATGAACGGATATATTTGGTTGTGCATGGTCTTTTATGGAATTTTTTTCCACCCTATCTGCGAACTGAATTATATCATTGCCATTTAAACCATTTTGTCTATAGTAATTTTAATTTTAATTGAACTTTATGCTTTTTATTGCCTGCAGATTCAAGATGGTCCAGATGAGGCAGGCAACATGTACATGAGGCCTGGAAAGTTGTCTGACTACTTTCCCAGCCCTTATCCAAATGAAGAAGCTGCTCGAGCTGCAAATAATGGAGCCTTTCCACCTGATTTAAGTTACATTGCACTTGCCCGACATGGTGGAGAGGTGCGTACACGTGTGGATTGACACAAGATTGACCTCTCAGTGGCTTAGTGACTCCCACATCTCTTCTGCCTTAATTTTGTAGTGGCAGCTGAAGTGGGTGATGAAAATGTGGGCCAGGTATCAATCACTGTAATGCTCATTTTCAATGATAACTTTCTTTCAGGACTATATATTTGCACTTCTCACTGGCTACTGTGATGCTCCAGCAGGAATTGTCCTGAGGGAAGGACAGTATTATAATCCATACTTCCCCGGAGGAGCCATCAGTATGGCTCAAGCGCTCTACAATGAGGTATCTTCTAATCTTTAATGGCAGACCACTTGATATACGAATAATAAGTATTAAGGGATTGGGAATGAATTCTCATAAACAGTCCAAATTGTGTGTGTGTTCATGCAAGCATGTGGGTGTGGGTGTATGTGCCTTCTTCCATTTTTGTGTGTCGTGTGTTCCAGTTCATCATAACTTTTTGTGTGTGTTCTCTGGCCCCTTTTGTGTGCTGAACACTATCCACATCTTAAAGATACCAGAGCTTGCAACATCTGTTCATGTTCAACACAGCTTCTTCTAGGTTTATAATTTCGTAGATATTAAGGTCCTGAAGGTCCTGTAAATTTATTGAATTGTTGGTTGTGGGGCTATGCTACAAGCCAGAAGGTCACGGGTTCAAGTCCCGATGAGGTTATTGGAGTTTTTCAATTGACCTAATCCTTCCAGCCGCACTATGGCCCTGGGGTTCACTCAGCCTCTAACAGAAATGAGTACCAGGAATTAATTAAATAATTCTCCTGGGGAGTAAAGCGTGGCTGACGCGTAAGGCTGACAACCTTACTGCCATCTTTGAGCTGACTGTCTAGATAATGTGGGAACCTCAACATCTCACAACCCTATGGGCCTTCAAGGCCTGTTACAGGGGTAGCTTTACTTTTTTTTTACTTTTTACTCACTAGCAGCCATCTTTCATATTTCCTGGGTGCTGTCCCATTGTTTCAGCTGCCTTCCAACTTGTGTCCATATGAGAACTTCAAGACTGGGCTCTTCTCACTGACCCCAGTATACAATTTTAGGTGCAGAGCCCAGACCATAAGTTAAGAAGCTCATACGGTTCTCTATTCAGCACCCATATGACATATTCTGATGTGGTACCAGTGGGGGAAGCTGCAATGTGATCAGTTACAAGTCCTGTAAATGCATGCATACACCTACATATATTTGGATGGTGCAGAGTGGGGAATGGTGAATCATTATTCCTGTGGTTGGGGTCCAAGCTGCAGCTCACCAGTGATGTACAACTTACCGCTGGGTTTGTAATTGTTATTAATGTTTTCTTTGAAGTATTTCCTGAGATTGGGTCATGATTTAGGTCCCAACACCATCACTGACCAGGTGGTTCCTGTATCTTTTTCTCTTAACCCCCTACCCACTGGTAGGCTGATGCTGACACTTTCAGAGGGGAAACATTTTCATCGTGGCTACTTTGCCCCAAAAACCAACCTGAGGCTAATGGGGTCATCAGTTTGACAATATTCTTATGTTGAAGATGGCAGCTTCATGATTCTTACATACACACGTCCTAGAGTATACTGTTGATAAGGTGAAGAAAGTTTCTTGGTTAATAAGTGGAACCCTTATGCTTGGGGTCTTAATGAAAAGGAAATGGATATCACTTAAAGCAAGTCTGTTTGGATCCTATCCCATCCACAGTGTGGGGGGACAAACTCCTCCCAGTGATTCCTCAGCATGACTGTCTGGATGGCTTGTCACATGAGCAGATTCAATCTGCACTGACCAGCCAGTCCACCTCTAATATTACAGGTTAATCAGGAAGAGGGATAAGCTCCTGCCTCACTGATCTACCATATATAATAAAACCCAATATTATTCTTCCATTGCCAGAGGGTTAGCTGCACTCTGCAGTAATGCATATTGAGTTCATCCTGTGATGAAAATGGTTATGGTGAGGCACCATGTTCCAGTGTGCCTGACTGCATAAACTACACAGGTCCCATCCATCCATTTACAAGAAGTGTCATATATATCTGGATCAAAAAGAGCCCATGTTCTTGGAAGACTAAACCTAAGACAGAGTCAGTCCTGTGTCTCAGCTGTACATTACTTATGAGAAGTTGATGTGAGAAGCAAGACTGCAGCCATTTATACCAGGGGCTACTGCAGTTTAGTCAGATCCATATCCCAAGTTGCTGTATCCTGTCTGATATATTTTTATTTATTGGTTTACTTTCTTATTGTTGGTTTTCTCTTTGTGTTGGAATGTTTAGTGCTTGTGTGCCTGGTGTAAGCGTACATTTATATCAGTCACCAGTGCACAGTGTGGAAACCCAAACATCTGATCCTGTTCTGTAGCTGTCATCATGAACACATGCAAACAAAGAAAAACTCCCTTTTCTGCTCACATTCATGTGCCTGAGAAAAGGAATTTGACCATGGAACCAAACCCAGCCATTTGAAGTTCCCATCAGATACATGTGGCTCAGGTGGGTTGCACTCCTAAGGGAAAGTGTATAGGGAGACAGAACTGATCTCCCGTTTTGGCCACTCATTATGAAACCTGTGTAGTGGGACATGAAAAGTTTTTGTATTCCTTAACATATAGGATGTAACCCAGTATTGTGACCCAACCAACATCTGTCATCAAGAAACTCATCTTTGTACCTCCTGTTCACCAAACCTGTTTGGTGTCATACTCCATCATCATGGCCATCTTGAAAGTGATAGGAGCAGTAGGGGGACAGCTTTCTAGTTAGGGATTGTATCTGCTGTGTTCCAGATACCCTCCAGTGTCCACTATCGGTCATTGCACTCTATTGAAATCTACCCATCTGTTTATTTACCACCTGCAACATTTACTTCTTTTCAGCAACACTAATAGCTCATGCCACCATTACCTGCCCCATTCATTCATTCTTTGTGATTTCAGCACTAGGAATATTCTCTGGAGATCAGTCTATAGTGACAAAAGGAGAAGAATAGTTTGTAATGATATGCTGGGTCCAATATCATTCTTCTAAACACAGGTGCAGATATGCTCTTCTGCCGAGGGTCAGAAACCTAGTATCCCCTAGATATTGTTTGGAGTCTGGACTTAGCAATGCATCTTGAATGGTCCATTTTTCCTCATTATGTTGTACTGGGCACTATCCTATAAATATTCACATTTTTACACCATCTCCAATCATAACATGATATTTGAAATGGATCATCGAACATGGTGACTGGGTGGGTTTCTCTTGCTTATTGACATTTAAGGACTGGCAGTTTCCATCTTTTGACTCAAAGGTGGAGTATTTTATGGACACTGGGCTCCTACCAAATTTATATCATCCCTGATTATCCCTCAGGCATCTCTGTATACATGTCCCTTGGTGGACAGACAAATGTCATGACAATATCCATAAAAAAAAAGATAAGTTTCATACCCAACTCACAGAGAAAAACCTGATCTTATTGAAATTCCTCCATGTCATTTCTCAGTTTGTAATATGTGAAGCTAAATGCATGTCCTGGGTGAGGCTTTTATGTCTGGTTTTCTTTGTACTTGAGTTAAGATATCAAGTGGAAGAAACTATAACACATTTTAGGTAAATGCAGTCACACCTCTGCACCTGCATGGAAAATGTGAAGGTGTATGACACCATGTTTTGATACTAGGCCCTCCATTGGTGGAATCCCAGGGATTGGCTGCTTCTTTTTCCTTCAAGCTTCCTCCAGGATCATTACTTCTGTGTTCATGTTATCTTCAAGAAATGTAGTTCTGCAAGGGTTGATTATAAGTGTTACCTTGTTTACAGTCACCATCAATGGGATGATTAGTGAGGTAGGTACATCTGCCTTAGCATCACTGTATGCTGATGACATTGTTATCTACTGTGGTTCGTAGAGAATTGTTACAGTAGAGGTTGCTATAAATTGTCTGCCACACAGTTCTAGCAGAAGGATTTTTCTTTCTGCCACAAAAACCCAATCTATACACTTCACATCCCCCCAATCTGCTCCTCAATAACAATGCTGTTCTGTTTGCGCCACCTGTCAAATTTCAAGGTCTTCTCCTTGACGGCACACCTTCAGGGGAACCTAACTGGAGATGGCTCTGCACTAAATGGAATGGCAGGTCTTCAGGTGGAGACATGAAGCTTAGACTCCATCTTGAGCGCGGCCTGATCTGTAAGTTTCATACATGGCTCTGCAGTGAAGTGTAGACTGTGATGAACCTTGTTCACAGCACAGGGTTTGTCTTGACATTAGCATCTTCCATGCGAGGCGCCAAGGGAGTGCATGTGGAATCCAGAGAAACTCCACTTTCTTTGCAAAGGAATCTCCTCCTGTCTCATTATGCAGCGAAGTTGGCAGCATGGTCCTGTTGCTCATCTAATGGTTATACATCTCATCCCATCCGACCATGACATATATATGAGTTATGCATCACAGTTCTTTGACCTGTAAGCATGGACCTTCATTGGCCCACTTACACTTGCTGTAAATTATTCCTAGCAGACTCTTGCATTTCCACAGTGAGTGAACCCTGCAACCTTTTGCTCTTCTGTCATATGAGAGGGGAATCACCTGCTCTTATGTATCACCAGAATTTTGCAGAACTCCTTTCTGGGTATAAGGACTGCACAGTGGTTTTTGTAGATGGGTCACATGTTGAAGGTTTGACTGGTTGTGCCTTTGTTACAGAGATCAGGTTTTCTCTTACTGTATGCACGGTTTCAGTAGCACGCACGTGGCAAAACCTGTATGCCATATACAGAGCTGTACTCTTAATTTGTCATCTGCTTCAACCTGGGATATTTTTGTACACACCGTGGTCTACCATTACTGTTCTGCACCTATGAAATGTTATGGTGATGACCGTTGTACAGTTTTCCATAATGGCATAGGGGTTGTCAAATCTGTTTAATTTATCAATCTTCCTTGCTTTCTCAATGGAACATATATGATTTTAATGTGTAGTTGCTTTAGGGCCTCAGAAACAGGCCAGTATACACTCTGAGGAATTCTTATCACCTTTTAATGTGAAATTATTGTTTGTTTAATTTGTATTTTGCCCTTGACCTGTCAGTACCCTTCACAGCCTGACGTGTATATGTAAATTTATTTAATTTTACTAGGGTTCATGTATTGGGCCTTTTACTTTAAGTTTAATTCTAGTGTGAACAGCCTTTGATGCTGATGCTTCTTGAAACCCACATTAGAGGCCTGTATCCAGAATTTAGGTGTGTCCAGATCTACTTTATCTTATTTTTTGCCTTAAAATGTATCTGCATAACCATTGAAATGTCTTTCAGAATCTTCCTGTGCATGCCAATCCTGCATAAATATGCTTTGTATCTTGAGAGGGTCCAGAACCTTATGAAGTAAGCAAGGTAGAGATTCTATTGTACATATTATTACAAGAAATAACTGAATATTACTGTTTTCAGACTATAGAATATGCAGATGGTACTCCAGCTTATGCCAGCCAGCTAGCGAAGGATGTATCAACGTTTCTGAAGTGGGCTGGTGAGCCTGAATATGACCAGAGGAAGTTAATGTTGATCAAGGTTTGTAGCTGTGACATCTGCCTTCTTAAGTGGGAACAGTGCCTGTAATTAACCATATCTTGATTAAATTCCTGTGCGCTACATTATCATTTGTAATATGCACACCACTGCTATGGGACAATACATTTCAGAGAAAGAAATTAAATATCATATTTTTACAACCAATCATTAGCCATAAATTATTTGTTTAGTATATGCAGATATAGGGGGCATGTGGTAGCATAGTTGGTTGAGGGGCTGTGCTACAAGCCAGAAGATCGCGGGTTCAAGTCCCACTGAGGTCGTTAGGTTTTTTTCAATTTACCTAATCCTTCCAGCCGCACTGTGGCCCTGGAGTCAACTCAGCCTCTAACATAAGTGAGTACCAGGAATTAATTAAATAATTTTCCTGGGGAGTAAAGTGGCGTGTAAGGCTGACAACCTTACTGCCATCTTTGAGCCGATTGTCTAGATAATGTGGGACCCTCAATGTCTCACAGCCCTATGGGCCTTCAAGGCCTGGTACAGGGATAGCTTTACTTTTATATTCAGATATAAGTAATTAATCATGTAATTTTGCCCTCGTGTTCCATTCCCCTCTTCCACTCCATTCAAATAGTGTCACTTCAGACAGATGTCTAAGCTTCCAAAGTAGTGCACACTTAACTACACCTTTATGCTCACACATCCCTCAATATACGGATATGGGAGCCTACCAATGTCCATGTACAGGTAGCAGGGCATAGTCAGTGGTATCCTTGTGCTTTTTACTGCTAGTATGTGCACTTTATATACTTTCAGTATATGGGGCAGGCAGTTTGCAGTCAAATAAGCACAGGATTCTTAGTCACATTTTAACTTGCCTTTCATTGGCAGCTGACTTCAGAATTGGCCTCTTGCATTTCTTATTTGACTTTGTAGATATAAATACTGAGTTTGTTGCAAGCATATAGTCAATAAGGTACAAAATCATCGGAGAACTGGTTTGAGATCCTTTCCTGATAGTTCGATGCTGTTAAGCAGTAGAAAATGACATACATGTTATGTGAGACAAGTAGTGACATGATGTGTTAAGTAGTGGATGGTAAATATGAGAAATGACAGAATGGGAAATTACCAGATACTGAGGTTTCACTGTATGTCAGTGACCTAAAATGTGCACTTCATTAGGCCCTATACCTTCTTATGAAACCGTTTTTCAAGCTAGTATACATTTTAAGAAGTATGAGGTAGTACTCATTTGTGTCCTTAAGTAAACATTGAATTTCTGATGATCAAAATGAAATGTAGTCCTCGGTCTGTAATGCAGATTTTCTGTACAAAATTTTATTCAAATCTGTCAAGTACTGGAGAGATGCAATATAGAGATAGACAGATAAACAGTCTGCTCAATGAATATGACTTCCCATCAACACTTGTTAATTATATATCATTATTTTTGAAGGGTTTAGTACACTTTTTCAGTAGTTTTCACTTTTTAATATTTTCACATAAAGGATCACTGTACAGAATAGTGAAAGTGTGTTCTGAGTTTCAGTCGGGGTGTGTTTCTTCTCTGTCATAATATATTTTATGCTTTTTGACCGGAAAAGTCACAAATACATGTTAATCTAAGTGTTAGTAATGAAAGTTCAGGCAGATAAGGATAGGTTTCCATTTCCTTTGTCAAATGTGGACTTCCTCCACATTACTGTAAATATAAAATAGCACCCTTAGTTATTCAAGAGCAATACAAAAGAAGTTACTGAGTCTTTAACTGAAGTCTAGTTAATAATACTGTAGTATGTAGAACTGTTTATAGGCAGTGTCTCAGTGAACATGTTCCTGTGGCAACAGATATGCTTGCAACAATAGAGGTAGTGTTGGTAACGGTATTTTCTAATCGGTCCATGCAAAAGTTTTATAAGGAGGACAGTTGGAAGGGAGCTGCTATTTAGAGATTAGTTGAGCATGGAAGCAGAGGAGTAGCCATTGTTAGAAGCCATTACCAGGAAACATCTAGTGAAGACACTGCATGCTGGAAAAGACTTAGCGTGTGCTGTAGTGATTTGTAAAATGTGGAAATCACCAATGGAGTTACAGTTATTTGAAGTTACAACCTGTAAGTAGTCAGTAAATCAAATTATCCAAAACCCCATCTGTAGTCACTCTTACACATGACAGTACTGATAACTGCCATTTCATTCCATGTGTCATTAGTAGTTGATTTATGAAATCATTTTCATAGTCAGCATATTGTAAATAATATTTCATGTTTGCACAGTGCAGTTCATATCATCAGCATATATTTTCTATGTGCTCTTTTAGATGTGACTTACAAACCTGTAACTGTTACTTGTATTTACTGAGCTTGTTAGCAGTATTATTAGAGCAGCATACAATGTATTGGCTTCTTTTTTGCTTGCAAGTGAAATTAATTGAGTGACATGCTCTGTTAAAAAGGATAGATTTTTTGTAGAAATATGAAGGCATGTAAAGAGTTCACAATTTGGATGAAGTATCTTCTATCGTTATGCTGTAGACACCGTGCCATGCTAAGTAAGTTTTTCTTCTGCACTCAGAAACCTGATTCGTGTCTTACAGTACAATAATTAATGTGTGCTTAATCATGTTTCAGAGCCTCTTCATTTTCTCCTTGCTGCTTGCTGTTAGCTATTACATCAAGCGCCACAAGTGGTCAGTCATCAAGAGTCGCAAATTGGCTTATAGACCAGTGTCAAAGAAGTAGATTAGAAATTAGTGACAACCAAAATTGTGTAGGAAAGACATTGGGAGAACTGTAGTTTTCAAGAAAGAAACGTTACTCCTTCTTTTGTGAGTTTTTTGCAATTTGCCAAGTGCATTTCAAGTTAATTCACAAATGTTGTTTGATGTACATATGCAAATAATATGAAAAGTTACATTAAAGAATTTGGAAAGATTACATCAAATGTTAACTAGACTTAAATGTGACATTATTTCATGGTATTGATTCCTCTGAATTCCTATTCAGAATATGATATTTACCTGGGAACTTTTGCCATGCTATTCCAGCCTTTACTGCCTCAAGTCTAGTTTTCACTTGATTCACATGTTTCCTGCCATGGTTGCAATTCAGGCCTCTACATGTAGTTTCACGTGAAGAGTGCTATCTTCTGGTGTGTAATGCTGTGTAGTCCACTAAAAGTTCACTGATGTGACAGAGAAATGTCAGTGGACTTCTACTGGACTACACAGTGTCACATACCAGAAGACAGCACTGGAAGAACCTCAAATCCAACATAGCTGCATATGATTTTCCAAAAGTGGTATACCATATTTGCAAGATATGGACGTGTCTTGAGAGATCATATATATCCTCTTTTTGGGTGTAATATTTTGTTTTGCACTCTGTTGCTCAATAAATTATTTCTTTGTGGCATAAATCACAGCTGTGCTGTATTCAAAAGAAAAATTTGCTAAGATAAATGTAAATGAGATAGGTGAGAAAAAATTATGATTGTAGGTCAATTAATACAAAGAGAGATGTAATAATAGATGCTTCATCTGCACTGTGTACTGCTTCACTGAAGAGTTGATGGCATACACACAATGATAATAGTTTAACTGAAAAATTCTTTGTATTCTCTTATGTTCACTACATCAGGATATTGCAGTGTAACATACGATTTATACTTACATGACTTCATGCTGAAAGGCAGGGGATGAGGGGTAATATGAAGTCATGTGACATGTTGCTCATGAGAAAACAGTAACTGATTCAGCTAACTACAACAGCTATTTATTATCCTGTATATCTTACTGCCCTAGCCTCTGCGTATAGAGGCAGAAACTGCTGGAAACATTTTAGAATTGTCAGTGCTAGTTCCAGTCAGTGGAGATCTTTTGTTACTACAGAATAATGTGTAAGGTAAATTGCAGAATAGTTAACATTGCCCTTAATTTGATCATAAGATTTGAATACTGATGTATAAAATATATTGTGAACTACAGAATCAAGGTTTTCCCATAGTTAGAATGATTATATCGGGGTGTAAATGGGCTTTCTATACACTGTATTCATTTGGATGTTTGTATTATTTATTATATGTGGTACCTTATGTGGAGCTTCTTTTCCTGTAGCTGACTGAATGGTGTGTGCAGGTGTTTGTTTAACATTAGTTTTCATTATTTACTGTGTAAGTGGTTCTGTATGTTACTAAACATTAAGTTCTATGATAGAGATTTTTTATCTTTTCACCAACTTCTAGTGACAAAGCAGAAAGCAGAATTGAAATGACAAGGAATTACATAGCCAAGGTCATTAACATGGAAACCATCCAACATTTGCCTTAGGAAACAGACTGTTAGACAATTGGTAGTTCTAAGTTTTCATGCTTCGTTACTTCAGAAGCCAGATTCTAAATATATTGTGATAGTTATTCCCATCTTTTGAGTGGCTTTTGCAGTCAGTTTTTAAATTTATAGGAAACTTAAATACAGAATTTATGTTAATCTTCAGTCAGCATTTTAAAATATGGGCCTGTTTAACCCTTTGTATGCAACAAGCCAATTAGATTGGCTTAGTGTACCTGCTTTATGACTGCCACAGCTGAAGAGATGGGCTTGATATTAGTCGCTTAGTACATCTTTTCTCTCAGTAGGTGGCATCAAATGTGATATGCTGATAGGTAGAGGACAGAACGCTGGTCACGGTAGCCGAGCGGTCTAAGGCATGCACTGTCTTCGCTTGCTCGGAAGCAGGGATCGTGGGTTCGAATCCCACTCAGGGCATGGATGTTTGTGTGCATTTTTCTGTGGTTGTGTACAGGTAGAGGCCTAGCGACGAGCTGATCACCCGCCCAAGGAGTCCTACCAAATGTCTAAGATCTAGAAAAAAACCGAAGTGAATGGAGAAGTTCATGGAGATAGGCCTAGGCCCACTGGGGCTGTAGTGCCAAGGAAAAAAAAAAAGGACAACAGGCTTTCACAGTATTGGTACCTGTGGATGGTTAGAGGTAATATGGGGAATTATTTTCAATTTTTCCATACAGCTGCAAGGCATGGCAGTCCTGGCAGTCAAAAGGTCACACTTGGACACAGAACTGATTACCATAACCATCATTATGACAACAATTCTAACATTTTCTGATATATTAAAAATATTGTCAGACTTTAACCGATGTATGTGAATTGCCATTGGAAAGATGCTGTATACTGCACAAAGTGTTCATAGCTGCCAAGCTGTGAAAATCTGACAGGATGGTTACAAATAAATGAAATAGAGTGTCAAAAATATTCATAATTACAGTAAAGACAGAGTTCTCCCTGTGCATAATTATGCACCACAACATGGAGATGCATTTTTATTCTTGGTACTACTTGGAGGTGAGGGGTCATCTTCATGCCCTGGCTGCTTTATCGCTGGGAAAAATCCTCATTAGCTATTGAATAGGAGGTTCAGTGGTCCCTGAGCTAATGGATGTGGTGACAAAAACTGAACTTCTTCCCTTCCAGGAATCAAGCCCCCATTATCCAGTCACACTGACCAGGCTCTCCCAGCTCATTTTGTAATTTGCAGTAACTAATAAATGTTCACAGATGCTGGTGTAGTGCTTGCTTTATTGTCAGATCATTTCGTGTTCTGTCTGCTAACCCAACTACCAGCACTAATCTTCTGTTTATTTCCCCAGTCAAGGAAATCATATCCAGACTGTCTCTGCTCAACTGCCAGGTTGTTATGTGAGATGTATAATTGCAGAAACTTCCATAGAATAGATTTATTTGTGAACTAGCTAATTCAGCACTGGGCGGCATCCCTAGATGAACAGACATGTTTGCAAATAATGGACTAAACATTAGTTATCTTTTTAAACGTGTAGCAGTCCAGGAAACTACTGAAGAAAGCAAATGTGAGTGCTGAAACATAAAATGTAATCTGTGAAGCAAATGAAAAACCTTGCTAAGTAGAAATGTCATTCTCAAAAAACACCAAGTCCTGTTTAATGATTTGCTCATCATATTGTGATTGAACACAATAAAATCTCATTTAAAATATATATACCCAGGAGAATCTGGTCTGATAACATCACACCAAGTGTCATAAATGGAAAATGCAGAAGGTTGAATGAAAAAAGACTAATGAGAAAGTGGGGCTTTTAAGGGCCACTGTGGAGAAAAAATAAGGAACTAGCCCTTTGCAGGATTACTAGAAACAGTCATTTATTGGAGTACTGCACATGTAGGGCATGAGGAAAGAGAATGCAGTCCTTTTAAGGGGCAGGCAGAGAAGAACCATTTCTGGAGGAAGTAGCAGTTTTGTGCTTGGCGAAAACCTGTTATGTCAGGGTTTGGAAGAGAGATTTTCATGTCCACAAGCAAATTTTGGTTGGGAAATATGGTTTTGTTGATGCATCATGTGAATTAACATTTGCAGAGTTCTCATGGAATGCTTCTCTGCCTCGGGTGAACAAAAGGCTGTGTTCAGATGTCTTGTTTTTCATTTCATTTACCTTTGTTAACATCATTGATGTCATACTAATACAGCAGTGCTGTAAAGCAGCTGATTGGTCCTATGTGTAATGAATAATTTTTTAAAAGTCTTTGGTGTACCTTTTTGGAAAATCTTTTGCTATTGGCAGTTTGAACTCAAATTGTCTGTGTTTCTGAGCAACAGTTTATGAAGACATGTACCTGGTCACAATTTTTATATTTGTGCTATGGTTTTGTGCTCCTTAGATGTGATGCTGATATTTATGCAAGTGTTTAAGACTGCAGAAGCTTATACTGCCAAGAAAAATTATTATTGTGATGTAACTGTAGTTAATTTATTAACATCTATTTCAGATTTCTAGAAACTTAGGCCAGAAATCACACCCAGAAACATTCCTATATCTTCAAGGTTTCTGTATTGTCACCTCCCACTCCCCTGCAAGCTACATTGGAAACGTGCTACAAACAGAAAATGTAGCCACAAAGAAGCAACCACAGCATATACACCTCCTACACACTATAAATATCCCTACTCATGGAAATCAGAAACATACAGTTCCACAATGGCATATATCCAGTACTGCAAAATTTGCATTACTACATTTTTACATCCATACACCCCCATATACATCTGGACAAGACACATGGAGATCTTTTAGACATCCAAGTTGTTACACTACCTACAACCATGCTATGCACACATATACAGAATTAGTACCAAAAATACATGTAAAAATACGAATACAGCACTCAAAGTACCATCTAGTATATTCACTACTTGTGTGTGTGTGTGTGTATATATATATATGTTTTACGTATATTTATAAATATATAAACTGTAGATTTCACAATTTACAGCACAAATTAGGAAACCTTTTAGGGAACTTTTGAGTCTATTGACCAAAAATAGATTAATTTATATAAGGGCCAGAATAAAACATTGTGTGATGGTACAGAAACCTTGACTGTATATTCACAACATGATGCAAGGAATAAAAAGATGTATATATCTTGCAAGGATATCAATTCATGCATTAACTTCATGCCTAGGGAAATGAAACAAGAGTCCAGTCTTCATGTTAATATATAATATGTCAGCATTTTGTCTGAATAGTTTTATTTTATTTACCAAGCTACAGAAATAATCTTACATACTCGGTGAGGTTATGCAGAACAGTATCATATACAATGCAATTTTGATATGAATGTATTTACACAGATGTTAAATAATTTCATGGGAAGAGGTACTTAATCTCTCACTTATTCAAATTCTTTTAATACCATTAATATGTTGAATTTTCTTGTTCAGAATTATGGCCATAATTGAGTTAATGTTGGTAGGATTATATATTGTACTCAACTGATCTCTCTTAAAATAATTGACTGTACAGAGTTTCATTGTTTTTTGGTCTGTAGAATTAATAGTGTATTGATTCATTATGTGATTGCTCATTTGTTTTGCCAAATATATTTTAAAACAATTGTTATGACAATAATTTCTCTTTCAGAGTCAAAAATGAGTTTGTAATTTTAAAGGCCTAGATGACATATCAGCATTCAAGCAATTAAAAACATGTATGTTGTGATGTTTATAGATGTATCAGAATTATAACAGGAAGGGTGTTAACATAAATAAAAGGCCTGAATTCTAAGCCATGGTGGGACAAATATTAACTGCTGCAGCACATACCAGAGAGGTTCATTCCATCTGTGGCCTTATTACTGCCTGTTCATAGAGCAAGATGCTAGCTGGTGTTGGCTTCTTTCAGGTAAGAAATTCGTCTGCTCCCTCATACTATAATGGGTGCTGAAAGTGATCTCCGTTAATGCACATTTCACCTTAATGTATCAGATTCTGTCATACATGAAAGGTGATTTTCAGATTAATATTCCAGACTTAATCTGTATGGTCTCGAAAGTGTGTCGATTGTCGATGTCATGTGGGTAACCATAGATTCATCTGTTCATGAGATTTTTGCTTTCTCTCACTCCATCCAAGCAGATACTGAAACGATGCTGTAATCCTTCATGAATGAATAAAACAGCATTTGAGGGGTTAACTACGGTGTGGCATCTGTTGAATCAGATAATCAACTTTTGTTGCAATATGAGAATATGGCATATCTTTCATATAAGATCCTTTCATCCATTTCTACATCAGTTTCTCTGTCTCTGTCTGGTTGTTAGGAAACTGTAGCAGTTTTACGATGGAAAAACAGTCTGTGTTCACTGCCAGTTCTTTGTTTGACAACTGTTCAATGCATATTCATTAGTGTTTGCTTGGCAGCCCTTTAACCCCTTGAGCATGACTTTTAGTGGAGCCATTTAAATCCCTAAGCATGTGTGGCACAACATCTGCATCCGCTCAAACCCATGCTCTAAGCGTGCGCATCCCATATGTTGAGTCCAAACTTTTCACTAAGAATTCTTAATGCCTACGCTCTGATGTATGTACTTCCAGTGAATGTATATGTGAGCTGATACTGACTTCTTTCATTCCTCGCTATCTGTTTGTGTGTGTCCCCCCNCCCCCCGCTTTGCTTCCTACAAAGCATTTGGTGTCTGCTGCTTATGAAAGAATTGTTCCCACTCACATTCCGACTTGCTTTCAGAGAGATAATTTGTTAGCTAACTTTCATTGAATGCTTGTTATTTATGTTTGTGTGTCGGTATTTTTTTTTACTGGCTTGGCTTACTGGCGACAAAGCAGCTGTGTCTGATTTATGATGTTACGAACCTAGTGGTCGAAGTTGCCTGACGCCTGTGTCAATATTTATGAATTTGTTATCTTTTTCTGCCTTGCGACACTCTCTTAGCGGAGCCCCATGGCATCTCAGTCACATAACTTGTTTGTCGGAACATTCCCACAACTTAGAATGAAATTAGGGTATTCCTAGGTTTGCTTATGCTGATGGGAATTCAGAAACTAAACCTCAGAATGTATTTTAGTAGGAAACATATGTTAGAAACACCATTTTTTCCCAATGTAATTAGTGAAGAAAGGTTTTCATTGCTGACCACATTTCTCCATTTTGTAGATAACACCAATAAGGAAATTGCAAAAAGAGATCCTAAATTGTACAAAATTCTTCCAGTTAATGAATATTTGAAAAAGAAGTTCCAGAAAGTGTACATACTGGGCAAAGAAATAAGTGTCGACGGATTGTGGAAAGGTAGACTTTCATGGAAAGAGTATATTCCTATGAAAGCTTCCCGGTTTGGGATTAAAATCTTTGAACTTTGTGATTCCGCAGGATATTTGTGGAATTTTATACTTTACAGTGGATCAGGGGCAAAATTAGGCTGTGAAATCACCAACGAGACAGATCTTTTCTCAACAAAAGTTGTTCTAAGTTTGTGCGAGAAACTATTAGACTCAGGGAGATGTGTTTATATGAACAATTTTTATAGCAGTCCCGATCTTTTCAGAGATTGGTTCAGAGGACAACAGATGCTGTTGGAACAGTGAAAATCAAGCGCAAAGGTATGCCAATAGATCTAAAAAAGAAACTGAAGAAAGGAAAAGTAGTTAGTGCAAAGTGTGGGAAATTGGTGGCGTTGAAGTGGAAGGATAAGCACAATGTCTCAGTGCTGACTACTAAACATTCAGATGAAATGCAACCCGTAAGTCGAAAGGGTGGGTTAGAATTTGTAAATAAACCTATGTGTGTAATAGAGTATAAAAAATATATGGGAGGTGTAGACTTGAAAGATCAGCTACTAGAAACATTCTTGCTAGAAAGGAAAAGGCAAAAAGCGTGGTACAAGAAATTATTCAACCACTTAGTAAATACGGCAGTGTTGAATGCTTACATTCTGTACTGCAAGGCTGGTAACAAGAAAGATCATCTGTTATTCAGAATAAACTTAGTGANTTAAACAATTGTAAATATAATTTTTTTTTTGGAAATTTTTAAATAGCGATTTTGTTATTTAAAAATATTTAGGTAAATGTCTGCACAAAACCTTCAATGCTTGCGAAAATAAAGCCCCGGGAGGGATTTAAATACCCCAGCTTAAATTCACGCTAGATGCATGTAACTGAGCGGATGCATATGGTGTGTCGCACACGCTTGAGGGGTTAATGCATAAAGCAATTGTGTGGTGCCACAGCGGTAAATTGTAAACACTGATCAACAGAAATATATATAAAATTGCCATAATAAGCAGTTTCAGTGTTTTGTTTTATTTAATTTTAAGAAAAAACATAGATGATAAGAAGCACATTTGGTGATTGGAATGAAGCTTACATATTTATACATTTACAGCAAGTTTCCTTTTTGCTCACTCGGAGTACATATTGTAAGTGGCATAATAAACAAACAGTTTCATTATTTTATAGCAGTTTATAAAAAGGAAGCCAGTCTCACATATAACTTTTAAAATGTGTACATAGTAAGCATTGTTTCTGTTGAAGCAGAGAAAGCAGTTCTCTAAGGTAGCCCAGCCACGAGTTCCCTACTTCCGTTTTCATCATGCATCAATAAGTCATAGAGCAAAGTGCTTTGTCCTGCATATCAATGCTGCATATGTGAATAATGTGACTAGACATGGGGTTTGGACTGATAATTGGATTTCTTGAAAGTGTGCAACTTGTAACTACTCCAGAGTCAGAGTTACTTTATAACAGGACAGTTTACCACCAATCACTTCTTCTTGGCACCAAGCCCCTTGAGGGCTCTTGCTTAGCAATGGCCTGGGTGTTGTTGATGTGAGAGCATGTTTACTGGCTGTTGCATAGAAATGGACGACTGTTCTTGTTGAACTAGCCTTCAGCTGTCATGTTACAATAGTAACACTTGGACACCTTCGGTCTTCCTCTCATGTTACTATCCCATTATGATCTACACTACAACTAATAACATGAATGATCACTTCCATTTGACAGATTAAATTTTAATTTATAATACCGGCGGATGTCACTGGACATGTATTACTTACATTTTCTTTTACGAATGACAGTGTAAAGGCAGCTCAGTTATCTACACAGATACAACTTTGACATTTCACACAATCCAATTCTTTTGCTTTGCATAAAGAATGCCTAGGACAGGGAAGTTACTGTCTCCAGCAGTGATATTGTAGCAATATATTTATACTATATTATCATACTTACTTACTCATGGAGCCGAGCCCTTCTTGAGGGGCCACCAATTCTGCAGCTACTCAAGAATTTCCCAGCATTTTTATGGATCCTGAAGATTCATCACCGTGTTCACAAGAGCCCTCCACTGGTCCCTATCCTGAGCCAGATCTATCCAATCCATACCATCCCATCCTATCGCTCTAAGATTCATTCTAATATTGTCCACCCACCTACACCTTGGTCTTCCCTGTTGTCTCTTACTATATTATTATATCTCACTAAATTATTTCTGTTATATACAATTTATTTTAGACTCTGGACTCTTAGATTTTATTTTTATAACCAGCTGATGCTTGATCCAAACTGCATGATAATGGCTACAAGAAATAATTCTGGATCAGTAAATGGTAGTGGCTGAATATTTTATACTGGCTTTGTAGCATATAAAATTTTATTTTCTTTACAAAATCCTTTTTAATCCTTTGGAACATGATTTTTTTTGTGATACTTAAAAATTCATTTTCTGCCTTGTAGGAAACACATTACATCAATTATAAAGACCATCTGGTTAATATTGCATGGGAAATTGTTGCTACCTAGTCTGAAAATATGTTACACTTAAATAGAGTCAGTGGAAAAAATGCAGAGATTTGTAATGTTGAAATACATGTTATGTATAGTAACCATTGTACTTTAAAGAGTAAACACTAGCAAAAACAAAAGTTTGCTGTCATCTAATTCCTTTTACATGTATGTTCTCTTCCCCCACCAGAAATTCTTTCATAGTCTGAATTGGATGTGCAGTATTTAGCATAAGCTCATTGATAGGTGAGAGAGATCAAAATGTCAGTCTAGTGACAGTGCTGAAAATCAATATCAATTGGGAAGCATGCAAGCCCACTGAAAATAACAGTCCTATCCAGTCCTCTTGACAGAGCATGCTCTGTACAAAGCTGTGTAAAAATCTATATGGGGAATTGATCCACTGCTTTCATATTCAAAGACTGCATGGGGTGGTAAACAAACAAAATACCATAGTGAGAAGTTCAAGTACTAAAGCTACTTCCTTTTAACTGCATATTACCAGTATGGAAGGTAAAAGAGAAAAGTGCTGTAACAGTAAATGACATGTGTGAATGTATCAATGAAATGACATATATGTGTGAAAACAATATTGTTTGACTAATTAAGATGATTTTTGTTCTTCGTGTATTAAGTGGTGGTAATAAATGATGTTATTCCTGACGTTATAAAAATTCATAAATTCTACATTAATGTCCTGGAAAGTATGATCCTATTAAAAAATACATTTATTTGCATGAACCAGTAAAAAAACATTTAAAACAATGAGCTGAGGCAGTAGTTAGTATAACCAGATGTGTATTTTACCTGCTGCATGTCTATTAGCTCTGTTTGTGTAATGTTAATTTAATGCAAAATAATGTAGTTTATTCCTCTAATTACATTACTATATTATAAAACAGTAAGTAGCAAAATGGTTCAGTCTGCTGGGGAGGGAAAAAGATAAGAATAACACACCTTAATAATCATGCACCACAATGTCATGTGTAAAAAAAAAAAAGGTAAAGTTATCCCTGTAACAGGCCGTTAAGGTGCATAGGGTTGTGAGAGGTCAAGGCTGCCACATTTTCTATAAAATTGGCTCACAGATGGCAGTAAGGTTGTCAGCCTTATGTGCTGGCCATTCTTTACCCCCAGGAAGATTCCTGGTACTTATTTCTGTTAGAGGTTGAGTCAACCCCAGGGCCATAGTATGGCTGGAATGATTAGGTAAATTGAAAAAAAAATCCACCTCATCAGGTCTCAAACCCACGATCTTACGGTTTGCAGCATAGTGCCTCAACCAACTACGCCACTGCATACTCAATTATGTGCAAAAATATCTTTTTATTTGAACAGTCATCTCATTTGAGACTGTAGCTATCATGAACAATTAAAATTCCTGACTGCAAATTGAAAACAAAAACTGTAACTTGCCCTTGCTTAACATAGTAAATGCATTCCCAGAAAAATTATGTTGAATTCTGTGTATACATTGGGTATTATAATATGTATTCTGAAGTAACCAGTACATCCAAAGGCACCCAATAATTTTAACTTACAAAATATAAATCATCCTTTTCTATATTAGGCCCATGGAGAATTGAAAAACAGAAGGATTCTGCCATTGTTTTTGAGATCTCAGGCTTTTTGATCCTTTTGGTTCATATTTTAAAATTCTTTTTTAATTCTGTCACTGCTCATCCTGTTAGCACATTCTTTTGAATTTCTTCTGTATTCTATAAATTTTGTTATTTGTGGAATTTATGGTTTTCTCATAATTTCCATGGTTCAGAAGAGTGTATCCCACATGTCTCCACATGAAACATGCTTCTCTTTCTTATTTTTGATTATTTGCTATCACAAGATAATGTTGGTCTAGCAATGTGTATAACAGACTACACACTATCTCATACCAGAAGACAGTGATCTTCACAGATATGGATGTCTCAAGCATGCTTATTTTAAATTTAGTTTACCATAAGAAGGGTCATTTTATATACCGTATTCCAATTTTAGGATTCTCACTTCACTGTCTCTGTACAACTCTGTCCATATATTGAATTCTCACTTTGAGGCTCTTTCTTCTCTTATTATTTATTTAACATGACATGTTTCGGCCTAATCATCAGGTGTATAAGATTGTAGATGAAAACTGCTGCTCTGTTGTTACCCTGCTGTACTTTGCATTTTATGAGTAATATGAAGTGGTTAAACAACTTTTTAAAGGGTTATTTTTTATCATGGTTACTTTTTATTGCACACATGTCTTGGGTCTGGTGTATGTTTTTTGGTGTGCTGGTTTTTTCCCCCCATTTTTTGCTTTGTGCAGCCATTTTGGTTGCTTTGTGCATACTTACTGTATGATGAAAACATAGTTTAATTACTCTGGTGAATTATCAACTGAATGAAATTAGTTAAACATAATGAAATTAAATCTGTTGTGTGTGTGTGTGTATACGAACATACGAGTATGTGCGTGTTCTTCCCTTCACAATAAGCTGGTGTATTGATAAACGGTAATATCAGTATGGCCATCAGTCTTTATAACTTGTCATGGTAAGTGACAAAAAGTGGAGATGGAAATGTCTTCAGAACTTGTTAGACACAACATAGTAAAAGAAGTCTGAGGAGTGACATATATTAGAAAGGAAATTATTATGATGCAGTTCTGGGAATTTATTCCTACATGTATCATTATTGGGAATTATACACGTAGTTACTGTATCTTAACACCAGGAAATAGATCTTTTAAAAATAAAAATGCTCTGGAAGTATATAAATGGTGTGTTGTGGTGTCCACATTCATTTTGAGCCCGGAAAAGTAGTAAGGTGCGTACCAGTTGGGAAATCAAGATTCCCATTTAAGATTTTGAGAGTTGTTAGGCAAGTGACTTACAAAATCAGATAACTTCATATATCCCTTTATTGATATTAAAATTAAAATTTAACTTTGAATTTATAAATACATATAAGTGAATTTGATTCTCATGTATGGAAATGTTACAGAAATGGATCAATATGTAAAAGAAAAGCGCATTGGCGAAGGTTCATTTGGAACTGCTTATCTAGTCCGATCAAAAGAATCAGGGGTCCATTATGTAATAAAAAGGATCAACTTCTCAAGAATGACAGAGCAGGAGAAAAATGAAGCAATGCGTGAAGTTGAGGTTCTTGCTAAGCTGCAGCATCCATATATTGTTGCATATAAAGAATCCTTTGAGTATGGTAAGAATCTCTACATTGTAATGGATTACTGTGAAGGTGGAGATTTATATACAAAGATTCGGGAGTATGCTCAGAAGGAAAGATATTTTTCAGAAGACATAATTCTCAATTGGTTTGTTCAGTTATGCCTTGCTCTCAAACATGTTCATGATCTTAAGATTCTTCATCGGGACATAAAATCGCAAAATATTTTCCTCACGAAAGGTAATAATGTCAAATTGGGTGACTTTGGAATTGCAAAAATTTTGAAGAATACAGTGGACCTTGCAAAAACGTGCATTGGAACACCATATTATCTCTCGCCTGAAATTTGTGAAAACAAGCCATATAATAATAAAAGTGATGTATGGGCACTTGGGTGCATACTTTATGAGATGGCTGCATTAAAACATGCCTTTGTGGCAGGAAACATGAAGAACCTTATTGTGAAGATTATTCGAGGCTCTTATCCCCAGATTCCATCACGTTACAGCAATGATCTCCGCAACTTGGTACAACAGCTCTTCAGACGAAATCCACAGGAGCGACCATCCATTAATACCATTTTGAAGAAAACGTTTATATCCAATAGAATTGCCAAGTTTCTAACAAAAACACAACGAGATCAAGAATTTGGTATAACCAGCTCACATTTTCATCAAGTTGTGGAATCGAAGTCTCAGGCACATGCAAAAAAACCAAAAACAGCTGTCACTGATCCTGCACTGAAGTATAGGTCACCATTAGTTGTCAAGAAGACAAGAGTACATAAAGATTATGACAAGAAGGTGGTATCACCATCTGCACCAGAAACTTCACAGATGTCTAAACACAAAATAGGACCTGCAAGACAAATTTGCAGTGAAATTAGTCCACCTGGCAGACTGTACAGAGTTGTTTCACAAGAGGCTTTTTCTCTAGTCCAGGAAGAAGGAGACGTGAAAAGGTCTTCGGTACTTTCAATTGTAAAGAATCACTTGGACAAGATACGTTGTGCTAGGAGTATGCTAGATGGAGAACACTCTGTTGAACCTAGAAACATAACTGAAACATTTAACCAATGCATAATGAAACCATTTGTAAATATAATTGCACTGAACTTATTAGATCCCGAAAAAGGGTGCATTATTGAGGATGCTTTATTGCATGAAGGAAATAAAGATAAGATCACTGCTGCATCAAGATCAGTGCATGAGAACTGTAACATACAAAATATAGAAGATGCTTTTCTTGCAATTTTAGGCTTTAACTGCATACTAGAAACACTGTGTAACAAGAAAATGCAGCTGGAACCAGAGAAGTCATTTGTGAAACAACACAAAGCAACAAAATTTCATAGAATACAGAAGAACAGAAATGGATTCAATAAAACAGTGATCAGGCTTACAAATATGGTGTCTGATCCAGAATTCCTTGCATCACTTCATATTATAAGATTGCAAAACTTCAAGGAAAGACAGCTTATGATTAAAAAAAGAAACAAAGAGAATGAAAATAAGATGAATAGCATAAGGTGTCAAAAGAATAGAAGTAATAGTACCAATGTGCATTCCCCATGTATGCTCAACAGTGCAGATCATGCCCCAAGTGATGATGTCATGCATGTAAGTAACACAATGGGAGTAAGTAATGAACAGTTGAAAACAGAAGGTATTGCTACCAGAAATATTGTGAATAGAATGAGAACAAGGATTAACAAAAAGAGAATGGAAGCCTTTGAGAAAGAAAAGAAGAAAATATTAGAAAACAGATGTACAGAATATACAGATAACATCAGTATTCCTGTGGATGATCATGAAGTAAACAAGTTGGAAGAAGAAACAGAGGAATCAAATATTATAAAACTGAAATACAGTAGAAATACAGATGAGAAGAGAACTGCTTTATCAGCAGAAAACAAGAATATTCCACAGGCAAATAAAGAAAATGAAACTTATATAGATGGTGAAAACAGAATCTCTAAGGTGAGACAGAAATGGAAGAAAGATTCTAGTTTCGAATTAGGAAAGGAATCGCTTGAGTTAGCAGACTTCCTTATGGATTCGACATCATCAGGTGATTTTGTTATAAAATATGGAAATTGGAAGCAGTGGAGCAGTGCAGGTACTCTGTGTGAAGGAACTGTTATGGACAGGACTTACACTCTTGAAAGACCGTACCCTATACCAAGCGTTTTTCACATTGACTCAGTAATGACAAAATCAGGAAGTGATGTGTGCAATGTCAGTGAAAATGATGGCTGTGGTGATGGAGTTCCAGGCAGCATTCTTGGAGAAAAGCAGACAAAAGTTGACATAAACTCAAAATATACCCAAACTGACATTCCAAGTGCTGTGGTTCCAACACAGGCTATTACCATGCAAGAGTCGATGGATTGCAATTTGAAACTTTCAAATCCAGGGCAAACATTTGTATCAAAAAAAGATAAACATATGGATTATCAAAAGCTGAAAGGTGAATGTAAAAATCATCCATATCAAATACAAATGTTGCTTCAAGGAACTCAAATAGATCAGGAATCACCTGTGATTTTACCATGTTCATCTATGGTCCTGAGCAGTACACAACTTGATGATTTTTTACCTCCACCTCGAAGAAAACGAAGAACAAAAACAGCAACACAGTATCACTCTCATGGAAGCTGCATGAAACATAGGACAACGAAAAGGTGGTTAAATTCTGATGATCGCAAGAGGAAACATTCCCCTTTAACTTCTCCAAGACTTTGTGTTATCTCAGTTGACAATTCTACAACTGTTACTAGTGGATTTGGAAGTACTGATATGAGACGAACATGTAAGAATGTCATTGATCATTTACGAGCACAACATACATCAGATGAATTATGCAGTAATGGGTTACCAGTAATAACCAGCGTGGTTGATGCTGTATCTCATGAGAGTAAACTGAACAATGTACAAAGAGAATCAAAAATTGACAAAACTTCAAGTGACACTATTGAACATGAAAATGTACAACAGGGCAGGAGCTCAAATTATGATAAACATAATGGAAACCAAGTTGTAAGAATCGATAGCTTACCCAGCTATGGTAATGGAAGCACAAAAGGCAATGAGAAATCCTCAAGTACTGGAGAGATACATACAGAAAACACTCATAACGCTTTGCAAGTATCCTTGTCAATCAACAGCATTAATAACCAAATGAAAAAGAAAGGTGTAAATGAAAATGTATTTAATAATTTATTTGCAGATTTGTATGAAAAAGAAGGCAGCAAACTAAAGGAGATGCTAGATTTAAATAACAGACATTACAATGCTGAATTAGGTACAAACACTGTAGAAAGTAACAAAAAAGTATCACTGCAGAAAACCAATAATGCAAATGTGAAATATCCTACAATAAAATATGGTGTTACTAAGCCAAAAGCAGGTGAGATCCAAAGCCAGTATGAGTCTAGAGAAATTATGCCATTTAACAGAAAATCTGAGAAACAGAAGACACGTCCCAGATCAGCTATAATTTCAACCATCTCACAAACTAAAACAAACCAAGAAAACTCAATGAGACCATTGTCAAGTGGGCCATATTTATTTCATAAAAGCTTAAAATTTAGCAGACTACTTCCTGTTATTCAGCATGACACCAAAAACAAAATAAACACAAATCTGGATGCTAAACACCACTCTTTTACTTTGGAAGATGTAAGAGAAGCCGCAGAATATGACAAAATACTGAAGGAGACAGATGGTGGTGGTGGAGAAACACAGACTACTCTTGTTTGTCCAGATATTAATTTGGCACAGCCCCATGAAAACAAGAATCTATTGGACAATGATACTGCTCAGAGCAAAGAACACAGCTTTCAAGCAATTCCTTTAAACTGTGGCATAAAAGTTGATGGTTCATTCCAAAATATATGTCATATAACATCCACAGCTACTCAGATTTCAAGCAGACTGAAAAGGCCATCATATTATATTCACAAATTATGTGAACTTGAAACGAAAAATGCAGAAAAAGCTAAAATTGGGAATATAACACAGGACATGAAGAATTATTTTGAACATGACAAAGTACCACCATTCATAACCAATAAACTTAAGCAAATTGATTGCAAAATGCGAAGTAGTGTCATCCCGATGGATTCAAAACTCTCAGCTACAGATTTAGAGGAACCAGACAAGCACCTGTCATCACCTTGTAATGAACCTATTCATCTAGCATCTTTACCAACAAATGGTAAGTTTTAGAAACACAGTCATAAAGAATTGGGAAAGAATATATCCTATAGGTCAATTTCAACCTCAGAAATTAAGGTACTGATAAATTTTTAATGACTCTATCAATCATAAACATTATAATTTTGCCATTTTTTATGGATGTAAAACATAGTCCTTTAGATTACTTTCTGAGAACATAAAGTGTGTTTGAGAATGGTGCTTAGGAACATATCTGAACCTAAGGAGGATGAAATGTGTGAGAAATGTACGACATTACATAATGAAATGCTTCTTGGTATATGCAGAGTGCTTAGTACTGTTAGGACAATAAAAGCTGGGAGCCTGTGATGAGCTAGGCATGCAGCTGAGGTGTGGGGCATCAAGAAATAAATACATCTTGACAGGGAAATCTCTTGGAAAACAGCCATACAGAAGACTGAAAGAAATGGGTATATAAAATTAATATGGAGCTGAGTTATATGAATGAGAGGTAGATGGACCTGGCTTAAAATCATGTTCAGTGGCAGGCTTTGGTATTAATTGTTTTGAAACTTACTACCAATTAGTTTGCTGAACTATTCAGTTATATATAGAATAATTATAGAATATATAGAATTATATATATATATATATATATATATATATAACATAGAACAAAAAAAATATTAGGGTTAATTGGAAGGAACTGTAATATCCTGACGATTGGCCGAAGTACTAACAGAAATCTTTGACAGGATAATTGGACTTGAAATGTGATTCATTTTCTGCTTTACAGAACAATAGTTTAGATTGTAATTACATCTGTCTATCTTTACAGGATCATCCCGGTGCTCACTTACAAGAACAATGTCGCTTCCAGAATTAACACAGACCTTCACACCTAACCTCAATTTTCAAATACCATTCCAACTTACACAGAGTACAAGTGATGTGAAAATCAAACCAACAGAGGTAGATATGTGTAGCACCAATAGTGAATCCTTACTTTCTAGGCTTGAAAAGGAAGAATTAACAAGTTTAGATGACAATAACTATTTTTAAATATAGTGTATATTTATGTGGCATAAGTGTGTTAAAAAAACTCTTGTTTCTTTCCCTGTAAAAATAAAAATTGGAACTTTAAAAATTATATACTCTGTTTTAGTAAATTTTAAGAGAAAATATTCAGTAGCTTACTGCTCCCAAAAATGCAATACACGTTTGATAAACATAGTTTGAACTTTGCCTCCAGGCTACTTGAATTAATGCGGCAAAAAATAATTAGTTTCAGAAATATATGTTCATTGGCAAATTATGTATGTTTAAAAATTGTACTACTCTAATAATAATTTACATACAACATTTTAAGTATGTTACAAGACATACAGTCCCCATCCTCTGTTAGAAGAATTAAAATCAATAGCAGTCTATGTCAGGTTAACATTCTTGTAAGTACTAATGTTATATGAAGACCATCAGATTATAGACCTCTTTGATGTCAGCACATAGCAGCATCACTTATCATACCAATTACAAAACACATGTCAACTGCAGGGCTGTACACTATAATTAGGCTTGTTTAAATTCCATAAATGGTGTCTGATATTGATGATCAATATTATTCTCTTACCTTAATCATTGGGTTTTTCAAGGCTTGAATATAAGCAGATATTCACCTGAGAGAATTACTGGCTGTCTGCAGTCTAGTTTGATGTTGAGACTTTATGTAACCTGAAGGCCTTAAAGTATGCCTAGTAAACACTTCACCTGGTCTCTTAGCATAGATCAGGCACTTATCAGTAGGTATGCTGACGATGTCATAACCATGAACCTCGCAATGGAAACATGTGAAGGCATTATCCCTTGGCTGGATAAGAGAGGGAATAGGTAAGATGTAAAACTGTGGGTAACTAGGAGAACAAGCAGGTGAATTTCAATATTTAGAAAATTTAAAGTGCAAGAATGGCAAGGGACTTTGAAAAATAAAAGACAGGCAGTTATATAGATAAAGTGAATAATTTACAGACATTGTAGTAAAAGAATGTACAAGAAGTTGCATTTGAAACGGTACAAAATATTAATTGAACCATAGAAATATGGTAGCAAGACTTGGGCATTGGGTGACAATGATAGAAGAAGAGTAGAAGCAGCAGAAAATATTTGTTTTTAAATCATGAGCATGTATGAACAGTCACACAAAAACAAAAACACTGACATGCATGAGACACTGAAGGTTAATAAAAAAAGCTGAAGAAGTAATCAGTTATAGGAAGAGACTGAAAGCTCATGTAGATAAGAAGGGTTGAAGAGATGTAGCTGAAGATTCTGTTGATTTACATGGCAAAGAGATGCTAGATATAAAATTTCAAGGCCATCACAGGCATTAAGATGTATAATCTGTGATACGGAAGATTAAAATCGTGAGTCAACAAGAATCAGTGACAAATCATGTATTTTTAGCTATGACCACAATCACATTAATTATTTACAAAATAAACACTATTTGTCTTACTGCTATCTAACTTGTTTGAGGAATAAATTTGAAAAGTATTACACAAATGACACTTTTCATGATCACTGCTATCTTTATTTCCAGGACAGAGATGAAGTGACAGTAGGCCATTCTGAGGGACCAGTTCACACAAACGATATAAACCACCAAAATGCTTATTCCAGGATGAATTTATTTTCTGTTGGCTCTACATGGCATCTAGGTAATAGCCTTTGTGCATCCTTTGTAAAAAATGCATAAAATTAATGCACAGTGGGAATGTCATATTTGTCACTTCGCATGTTATATCTTTGTAATTATAAATAGATGTTGAGTGAATTTAATTTTAGTTGGTATATAATATTGTCGCGTATTGGGCGTATAACGCGACAAATAACTTCACGCCGTATTTTATATAGCGAATTTTATTTCACATTCGCACTTACAATCACCCAAATTACAGATTTACGCTTACTGCTATCTGCAGTATCACAATTAGTACGCTCCAAATGCCACAATACTACTGATTAGTTGCTGGCTAACTCGGAACTAACTCGGAGGTAGCTCGAGGACTGACTCGTAGGTAGCTCCAGGACTAACTGTGAATAGCCTTCGCTGCGCCTCATGTAGCCTCGATCGGACAATACAGAAAACGGCCACGTAATAAGCACCCTTGTTGCCTGGCGGTGTTGCTAGTAACGCTAGCGGTAGTAACCGCTGTTACCACCGTCGTCTCTCGCAATCCTATTTACCCGTGCTGCCTAGCAACCCGCGGTACACTTGGTGACGTCATCGCTGTTGACTCGCGTTGCCTAGCGACCAGGATGCTAGGNCTCAGTGACAAAAGAAAAATTTCTGGTCTGGACAATAAATCTCTATCTGGCTTTTTGAACATCTTCAGTATGTGAAAACCACTCATCTAGTAGTGAGATTTGAGGTTTTCATGGCAGTGAATTGTGGGTGTGATGCCATATAGTCTGGTGGACACTTATCGGTACTTCCGAAACATCAGTAAGCTTCTACCAGACTGTGAGATGTTGCATTCCAGGAGTCAGTGATATTCGTACTCTGTGCAACATCCAGTGTTCTGCCCTGAAGACATAGGCAGCACATTAGATGATTATCTTTAGTTGTCTGGTAACTTACTTTCCAAGTGGTGACAGAAAATCGCTGGACATTGTATTTTATTTGCTGTGGCAGCAATACTGTGTAGTCTTTCAGATGTATGGCATTCCATAATGTTTATCACAGTCTGTAATCCTCCATCTCATACATTCTCATTCATTAACTCTAGTTGTGATGTCTATGGTCTGGCACATTTCTTTTGGCCTGTCAAGGTAATCGCCCTTTCACTTGTTCCTCCAGTTCTTTTATCTCCATGACCATCTGCCTGTAAGCAGTCATGTGGTAGATAATGAGGGGTAATTCTACAGATCAATTTTTGGAGGTGATGGAATGTCCTTGACCGACCAAAGGAAATGCCATCAACTATAGTATGTACAGTGATAAATATAAATCAATGTTTACTGGTGAAGTACTTTTCTTCATATGGAATACAAATTTTTTCAGACGAAGCTGGTAAAGCTGTAACATATGAAGATGAAACCATATTTTCTCATATTGAAGAGTGGAGAATGAACTTAGAACATGAATTAGGAGTTGAAAATTTTCTACATGGTAGGTAAATAAAACATTGATTTTTTTGTCATGTCATGAACAAATCATTCAGTAACAAGCATCTCAGTATCTGGGGGTGTATCAATTCTGGGCCCCATGATTTCACATGGTAACATTAATATTAATAATGTTCTTGTAGTGAGCATATGTTGAGGTCAAAATTGGGTCACATTGCTTCATATATGTATATTTTATTAATGAGTTATTTATTAGCATCTAATACTGGTTAGTAGAAATTAAGATTATCTATTGTCATGGCAATTAGAATTTTCCATTCAGCAGCACAATTGGCACAATTGATAATATCCAATAATATCAATTATCACAATAAATTATACAAAGGCTATTCAGAAAGTAACATATGGTGAATTGTTAACAAAACAAGCAATGAGAAATAAACACTTTATTATATACAAAAATATGTAGATACTTTAACTACTTCTCATCACAATTAGCAGCAGAATTTAGGCTTATATCGGGGAATACATTTTTGTATGCCTGTGTCAAGGAACTGTCACCTGTGAGCTCAACTATGTTTAATATTGTGAAACACTAACAAAAACTGTGTAGCGCCATTCAGACAAAAAGATGTGGAATACTGACATACAGTGTAGTGCTCCTTCATGACAATGCGTGTCACATACACTCGAGCACTGTTGGAACATTTCAACTGGGAGGTGATTGACCACCCTCCTTACAGCCCTGATCTTGCTCCAAATGACTGCCACTTGTTTACCTACCTGAAAAACTGGTTAGGATCAGAGCACTTCAGCAGTAACGAGGAGTTGATGGAAGGTGTCAAAACATGGCTGAGCCCATAGGCGGCAGACTTCTTTCACACAGGCACACAAAAACTTATTCCATGATGACAGTGCCTCAGTTATGGCAGTGACTACATTGAGAAGTACTAGCTTAAGTATGTACATGTTTTTTGTACATAACATTTTCTTCCTCATAGCTTGTTCTATTAACAGCTCACTGGAGGTTACTTTCCAAATAGCCCTTGTATTACATTGAATTTGTTGAGTCTTGCAAATTTGGCCTTTTGCCAAGTTTACATAGAATCAAGATATACAGTTATATATTTGATTCTCTGCTTAAAGCCAAATAAAATATTGCACAGAGATATTGGGTTTTCAGACTTTATCCATCGTCCTGATTTTAAGATAACTAAGAAAAAATGTGACATTTCAGAAACTGGATCTGTTTCCGTCCTCAGGTGAGGGAAAACACCTATTCTGTTGGGTCCCTTAGAAAGAGCTAGCCTCAATCACTGGACAACCGATGTCCCAAACCACAAAAGTTATAAAAACCTGAGACCAGGCTAAGTCCATGAGAGCTAATAAGAAAATTATACATTACAAATTGTTCCAAACATGTACAAGCGTGGAACCAGGATAGATAAGAGCCGTAGAAATTTATATCTCTGTGTGTTATACACCATCATCAGAATCCTATGGTAACTACAAATAAAATATTATCTAACAAAAAAGGTATATGTGGAATACCTGCTTAAAATTAAGGGGGAAATTTAACCACTCCCATCAATAGCTACTGTTCCCAAAGACAACCTTCCCATTAATTCAGTCTGAAACATTTATCCATTCATGGACAATGTGAAATGATTTCCCTGAATAAGAATGCTTTGAACTTGAAAAGTTCTGAAAGACAGTGTTAGATTACCTGGCACTGCTGTCTAACATACAGATACCTTTTTATAACAAAAGTCAACACTGTAATATTATCATCTACTGCCATTCTTTGCAGTCATATTTTGGTTCTATCATAACTAACTGGGATTATAAACAGTTCTGTTTTCTGGGATATAACAGAATATAGCCCAGTGGAAGTCAATTTACATTTCAGAGTAACATATTGCCTTCATATTCTGGGTCAAAGAACAAACCAACAAGACATAAACATGGAGGCAGCAAGAACAGCTTGGTCTTCGACCTGAATATGGAAGCAATATATTCTTCAGAAATGTCAGCTCGCACCAGACCCTATGGCATTAGATCCCCAGAGATAGAACTGTTCATAGTCTCCACTGTGAGAACCTCACATCTAACAGACCTGAAATTAGTTTTGCACTTGGTTTCCATGGAAAATACATACTGACAGTCTCACAAACATTGCCCTCCTTGAACTGTTAACATTAACATTTTCAGTATTAACCATCACCTTTATTAAATGTTTCCCAACAATAACGAATGCTGTACACATGCTTTCACATACCTTCAATTCTTTTATTAATTTCTCAAATTTTATGAGGCCATCTGAAGATTGTCATATTAGGGCATTAGGTGACATTTTTAACACACTGGAAGGTGCAAAATAAATACACTGTGAGATGGTATAGTGATAATGCTCTAGACTTGTATTCAGGAGATGCTCAGTTTGAGTCTTGACCACTACACCAAGTATCCTGACTGTGGCTTCTTGCTATTTACCTCAGTCCCTCCAGCAAATGCCAGGATAGTATCTTGATTAGGTCATTACCACTACCTTACAAATCTTTTCCAATTCATTCATCTATTGTCCTACCATTTGATGCTGTATAGTCTGGCTACTGACAGCATCATAAAGTAACCCACAAAGAAAAAACATTAACACCTGCTATTGGCAAGATCCTGAGTTTCATCCATCACCCCTGCATCATTGACCATCTGCTAACACAGCCTCTTAGATGTGATCTGTCAGAACAGCCATAAAATATCTGAGACATTTTGAAGTTGCTAGTATTTTATCTTTTTATTAACAAATGTCTATCTCATTTTTTTCTTTAATCTTTCCTTCACCAAAGAATGCATTTTATTTATACTCGTAGATATGCCATATAGCATAGATAACACTTCAACTGCAAGGACAGGAAAGGTGCCATTTAACTGTACTAGATCCAAGGGCTAAATTTCTGACATATACAGAAATATCAATGTCTGAAAGCATGTCAGATCTGCTGGAATTATCTCTCAACTATGCAGACAAGAAACACATGGCAGGAACTTTTCCTTATATCTCAACTTCTTAAGGGGTTCATATATAGAGTGTAACTGAAAGGTGCAAAGAAATTTTGGGCACAAGTCCCCCATACCAAAACAAGAAAAATGTCCAAATCAACATGTATCCAGAAACATTCAATTTATGAGTTATAGCTAAAAAGAGTACATTTACAATGTTCTCCAAATGTCCTCCATGAGATTCAGTGCATGCCTTATCATGTTCATTGGAGCATTTCTTTGTATCATCAGTGCTCCATACAGATAAGGCATGTTTCACTAGAGACAACATCGATATTCACAACCTACACCAGTGGCCACAGGAAAATCCTCATTGTGTAATCCACTGACACCAGCAGCAGTTAAGCATTAATGTGTGGGCTGGGATTGCTGGTGATTGGTAGGCCAGCATGTTTTACCACATCAGCTTACAGGCAACCACTACTGAGATTCACTATTACATGATCTGCCAAAGCTACTGGAAGATGTACCACTGGCAGTCAGAGCACAAATGTGGTATATGCATTAGGGTGCTCCAGCACATTTTAGCTGTGCAATGCGAGATCCTCTGCACTCGCCAGATTTGAATCCTCTGGATTTTTACCTCTGCAGACACATAAAAGCACTTGCATATGCAGCTCCTGCTGACAACAAAGAAGTGCTTTACCATCACATTGTGGATATCTGTAAGACTATCCACAACCAGCTTGGAATCTTTGAACGGGTTTGGCGGTCCATGATGAGACGTGTCCAGGCATGCATTGAATGTCATGGAGGACATTTTGAGCACTTATAAATGTACTCTTTCAGGTATAACTCACAAATTTAATGTTTCTGGACACATGTTGGTATGGACATTGTTTCATGTTTTGGCGTGTGGAACTCATGTCCAAAATTTGTTCACACCTTTCACTTACACATTGTATAATATATATAATTTACTCATAAAACAGAGCAGCTGACAATCTAAAATGTTATTTATATTATGAATTAAAACTGGCACTTCTGGGATTAAAAAGTCTTCCAAGTGCTAAACAGAGCTCCATCTTCTTCCAACTCCCAAGAGATTTCCCATTAACATTTTTATGCACATTTCTTTCAACTCAGCTCATGTCAATATCACAGCACTAGGCAATATGTCATAAGTTGCTTGTTTTGTAAACCCTTAACACTTTGCGGACCGGCAATTTAAATATTTAAATCACCCTGGGGACCAGCATTTTTAGACCTACTACCCTAACTTGTGCACTGTTCACTTTAAAAATTAATATAAAATCTCATAATTAATTTTATAAACTAAAATTTTTGGAGAACACTTACCAATGCTCCTAGAAGTGCTTGATAATGTGATATTCCTGGAAACATTCCCCTTTGTGAAGTGGCATTACACAGAACTGGCAAATGTAGGCAGTCATGCTCCTTTTTCTGTGAACTGTGCAAACACGACATTGCCTAGAAGATGCTTCCCCTTGGAATGTTCACTCTTCACAATTTTCACGAGGGTATATTTCCGCATATCACGCGAGAGTCACCCAGGGGGTCCACATGAGGCCTGAAAGGGGTGGGGGTTGATGGTCCCGGTCCCACTAAGTCTTTGTCAGACTCTCGTTCTGCCGCCACCATCTGGTCTGTAGCCTATTCCTTTGCCACATTCATCAGAAATGCTTTGTATTTCAATTTTGAATTGGGGTTTAGATTTTTGTAAACAAAAATGAATTGTAAATGGCACAATTTATAAGTCACAAGGCAACTTTTCTTTGTCCACTTTATTGTTTATCTAGGAAGAGAATAATAGGCAAAGTATTGATCGGCTCTATCAACTCCCTTCATGAACATATTATACTCAGAAATACAAATAGGCTTCTTTACTTGTCCATGTCTCTTTTGAACATGAACCATGCTCGGATTGTGAATTGTGGAAATCATATTCACAACACGAGTATCTCTATCTCCAAAAAACAGTTCTGCTACTTCAGACACTTGCGTTGTGTCCGATGGAATCTGTTTCACCCCTGGATTTCCAGTAAACTGTCCCAAAGTAGGCATTTTGTCTACTTTTCCCCATGTGGCTGTACCCACAATTTTACTACCTGCACTTCTACCTGCACCTTCGTTGGAGCTACATTCACTTTTATTGTCTGTGGCTACACTTGTTTGTTGACCCCTGTCACTGCAACTGTCTCAGTTTCACTACTCCTCTCACAAGGCACGTCAAATAGCTCATCGGAGAAGGAGTAAGATATTTCTTTTTCTCCAAGATATCGCTTCGTCTTCAACCGCTTCTGTCCTTGATTCATATTGCACTAACATCCTGCCTGGTACATAACAGCTTGAAGGGTCAAAGATTATTTTCCTTTGGAGGTGGAACAAAAACAGCGAGGTCAAGTTACTACCTACTAGGCAAACATTCCAGAGTAATATTACGCAGTAGTCATTCATTTGGGTGGCGCCAGAGAGATGTATAGTGTGTTGCAACTTATCGTGTTCTAAAAACCAGTTAACAGGCGAACGGTCCACCATGTTTAAAAGCAAAAAACCATTTAAAGAGTGTGCGGTCCGCAAAGTGTTAAGTTTCATGATGTCTTCTTCTGTCTTAGGCACAAATAAATTGAGTGGTTTACTGCTTTAGTTGTGTACTTTTTCACAGCTTATCGAAAATTACAACTACTTCATGAGACTGGTGTAAACAAAGAAGACTGGCAAATGGTGAACAAACTGCTGGGAGAGAACAAAGCTCACCTGGTCATTCAAGTCTGGCAGCTTGTTTTGGCTGATGGAATTTACAGTGAAGAAGACAGTTCCTAATTATAAGGTATAACAATTAAACAACCAGCCTGATTCTGCAAACAAAGAACATTTTTAAGCATATGAAATAAGTGTTTCCTGAATACCAGCTATAAAATATTGCCCTGTAAGAAAAAAAATCAGGATATGATGTACAGTAAATGACCTGTTTAATATTCATTCATAAATTACTTGTGCTCTACTTTTTATACAAGTGTCAAATTACCATATTGTAAACACACTGAACATTTCATGTTAAAAATATTAGGGACTGCACCGCCAGTATGGGTGAATACACTTGAAAAAGTAAAAAGGGCACCATATTCACATTTATAATGTACACTTGTGATAAGCTGGCAGCAGCCACTGAACTAAAACTAAATTCAATGGCAACCAGACTTAAAGATGATGCGTGCATTCCAATTCTTTTTCACTTGCCACATAATTCTGACACTGTAATACATATCTTACATGTTATAAAGGTACTTACATTTCTAACTTCTTTCATGTGCAAAGAATCTTATATAATAAAGAAAACGTATAATTATGTTTTTTCGTGTATGTACACCTCACTGTATTTATAACACTGTGTAATGTTTTACTGTTAGTCACTTGATTCTAATATGGAAAGCTTGCAGTAAACTCAGAAAAATTTTAAAAAATTAATCAATAAACTGCAGGATTTGGAAATGTTCCTGTATTTGTTAATGCTCATCAGGGAAACCATTTCATTACAGTATGGCATGGCCTCGGCCTCCAGCTGGAGAGACAGCTGCTTCTCAAATTTTGGGGTTGAGTGGGAGTAAACTTTCCTTTCACTTACTGACTAGCCTATCAGTGCTAGAATGATCAAATCAAGGATGCAGTGGGCAGGGCATGTAGCACACATTCAAACTGAGAATGAGTTCATACAATGTTCTGGTAGGATAAAGCGTCTGAAAGAAGGGCGTAGATGGGAGGGTGACCATAAAATGAAACATAAAGCAATAGGACATGAGGGTGTGGACTGGATTCATCTGATTCACGATGATCAGTGGAGCCTGTTGTGAACCTTACAGTTCCATGCAGTTCTGTAAATTTCTGTATTAGCCGAGAAACTATAATCTTCTCAGGAATGATTCAGCCCATAGATGTGGGTTATTTAATGAAGCCTGGCATATCAAGATTATCATGACAGATGATTGAGGGATTGTAAAGTGCTTAGAAGCAATCCACTGTGGCCTATTTACGATACAGTCCTGGAATTTTTCTGGAGTGAAAGAGAAAATTCACCAAAATATCAGGACAGCCAGCGACCTTGTAAGGATTCGAACCGAGCATCTCTTCAATGCAAGTCTAGGATGATTAAATAAATGGGAATGAAATGGGTAGGACATGCATGGGGAAGTTGATGAAAGCACAAAAAAATTCTGGTCATGAAGAAAGAAAAAGACATAGGCATACGAAGGGGGACCCAAAAATAACCGGAAACGACCTGTTGCGCATGCATGCTTTGTAGTTACGAGTTGTGCTGCTAGGTGGTGTTAGCTGGGGGTCTCCCGCGACTGTTAGTGAGCTGGCATCAGTCTGAGTTAAGTGGTTTGTCTGTGGTGCTCTGTTGTGTGCGTTCCTGTTTCAACCCTTTGGCGATTAGTGTGATGGCCAACCAGAAGAAACAAAGAGTGTGCGTGAAATTTTGCTTTCTGTTAGGGAAAACTGCACTTCACTCTTCAAGTCGCGGCAAACATTCACACGGTTTTCTCTTTGGTCATCTCCGAGCAAGCGAGGAACAAACTTTGCAGACACCCATCTCATGTGCAAACCTTCGGTTAAAATTCGCTGGACCGTGCTCCATGAGATGTTCGTTTCCTCAGAAAGTTGGTCAATGGTCTTTCGACGATCTTCATCAATTTCACGCACTCTTTGTTCCTTCTGGTCGGCCATCTCACTAATCGCCAAAAGGTTGAAACAGGAACGCACACAACAGAGCACCACAGACAAACCACTTAACTCAGACTGACGCCAGCTCACTAACAGTCGCGGGAGACCCCCAGCTAACACCAGCTAGCAGCACAACTCGTAACTACAAAGCATGCGCGCGCAACAGGTCGTTTCCGGTTATTTTTGGGTCCCCCCTCGTATATGTGTGAAGGATAAAATATTTTAAGGAAATATGGTATGGATTTGATTCAGATGACTCAGTGTTTGTGATAAGCTCTTGTGAAAATAGTCATCAGTGAATCATTATTTTTTTAGAATTTACCAATCGAGTGGTTGTTCAGCTTCTCAAAGGCTCTTGCCTCCTCAGTAATTTTGAGGTCGCCTTGGACTTGCTGTACAAAAGTTGAATATTACTTAAATTTTCCTTCAAATGGCCTAGTGTTTGACCTAAGGTTTGCTAAGCTGACACTTTTATTATCTTACATTACTACCATATTAGTCCTGGTCTATAGAAATGTCACTGCCATCTCCACAGTATCGATTATTTAACAATACTATATTACTTAAATAACAAAATTTTTTAAAAAATTTTAATATGTCAAGACAGCCGCTGCAGTTGTGAAAACTTTGGATTTTGTATCTATTTGTGCATTGTAAACATTGTATGTATATATATTTTAACATTCAGAACACCCACTGCAATAGTGGTTTCCAAACTGTATCGATATCCCTCTGATGATGGTCTCTAAGGACCGAAACATGCAAGGGGATTAAGAATTGAAATAAGAAAAACTTCACCAGTCACACTGGACGGAATTGTTTTATCATTTATAAGATCATGAAATCTTTGTTGTATTTCTGTTATGTAACTAGGTTTCAAAATAAAGCATGAAAACAGCTGGGTTTGTATCATGTAGCAATCAGTGCTCATACGTGAAAATTCAAAATTTACATAGCAAGTACCCACGTGACTTCAACGGTGATTTGTAAGACGTTTGTGATGGTGATACAGTTGATCACAGCACAGTATTTGATTGCTCATCATAATTCTGTAAGAGTAGCATAAGGACCTCAGATATCCAATGTGCAGGACACCATCAAAAACAACCAACAACACATCTGTGGTTACTGGCAGCAGCCATTTAGAAGATCACTGCACAACTCATGGAGAAACTGCTCATGAAGTCACCATTTCAGCAGCTTCCACTTTCAACCAAACATTTGCACCAGAAGACCTGATATGCTTGTGCCAGGTGTTCTCATGCAGTACAGCTGCAGAATTGCAGAATAAAAATGTTACAACACAATGAACACGTTTTTTAAGCTTTATGACTTTTTATTCATCCAGAATGTTGTCACAATTTTGGAGAGGTAATATAAATTGTATGACAATATGCTAATCAGCATTATGTTTTATCTCCATGCAAATTTTACACTGACTGTGGGAAAAAAAACTATGAAATCAATGCAAATGAAAAATTTAACAGTACGTATGTCATGAAAACTTCCCAACGCAATAACAGTGATTTATTCCTCAATTTAAGAAAGGAAGTATGAATGACCTGCTCCAATATTCTCAATATTATAGCCCATCAATTACCAGACAGCAACTGATGCTGACAAATGTATGAGAGTTATTCAAATGAAAACAACTATAATGCTGAAACACTTTCAACCCACACGGACTTTTGAGGAGGGGGGGGAGGAAGATAGTGACCTGGAATGCCAGCACACATAATACTATGGCCAACACAAGTGTGAACACAGTCAACAGTTCCAAAATGGTGGTGTGTGTGTGTGTGTGGAACCATGCAGTGAGCTAGAAATGCATGGTATTTAAATTCTTGCAGTCCAAGGAGTCAATTGAATAAATATTTGTGACAGAATAAGGCCATATTATAGTAACATGCCTATCTGAAGATTGTTTAAAGATTGCTTGCAGAAGCTGAATTGTGCTCGATAACTAGGCCAAGTACACATGTCATCACTCCTTACAGAACATTTAATTAGCAAAAACTTTCAACAACTTCTCTGTGACACTACAGATATTCCCTTGGATCAGAAGTGTGTCCATTAGGAGCTGGAACTAAACAAAGTGTATGAATTTCAAGTACCATGTCAGTTGAAATGAAAAATGAAGCAGAAGGTGACAATTTTCTTGATGAACTCTTAAAAGTAACCAATCAGTCCAGCCTGAAATCAAATAAGCTAGCCAAAAACCAAAAAATTCTAAATAGCGCCTTCAGCTGTTTTGTGGGACATGAAGATTATCACAGCAACAAATTTTTCACAGAAGGGATCCACAATAAATAGCAAAATGCATCACAAGTTAGTGAAGTACAGTCTGAAACTAGTCATTAGGAAAAAATTACAACAAGAAAATGCACTTCTGTATCCTCACAGGCGCAGCTGCAACAGTCACTGTCCACAAAAATCCTCCCATATCTACAGCACTCACCACACCTTGCAACATATAATAATTACCTGTTTGGACCCTTAAAACTGGCACTCAGTCAAATCCACTTTTGAACTGACAAGAATAGTGTGCAGTGCAAAACTGGTTATGTGACCAACCAACAAAAGCTTCTGCAATGGCATCATAGCACTAGTGAATAGTTGGATATGTGAAGGGCGAAGAAAAAAAAATACAAAAGGAATACAGACATTCTATACAACTGTTTTCATCTGAATTACTCTCATACATCTGTTCAGTAAAAGAATAAAAAATTGGCAGTAGAAGTTTTGACTATGTGCCTGAAATAAAATAATGCAACTTAGTCACCTTTTAAATTGTACACAGAGGGGCAATCAAAGTAATTTGTTTCCCCTTTACAGTTTAATATCAACTGCATAACATTCACATTCAAGAATGCTCCTCAATACAACTTACAAGCATTTATCTTGCACTTTATGAAAAATGTTTTATGCTCAACTAGAACTATTTTTACATGCCTGTAAAATTAGTCAGTTTTGAAGAGGGACAAATGCCAGCCTAAATTAGTTACTCCCACATATCCACATTACATTATACAATATTTTCACTGAGCCAAGAATTGTGGAATTATCAAATAAATATCAGAACCCTGCCTATAATAAAATGATGCAATAAAATTACACTAACCCTGCCAAAAATGGAAAAAAGCCTACAAATAAGCACAAAGACAAGGTGAACTTATTCCCTTTGTGGTACACAGAGGTAACGCCTTCATTCACTCATTCATTCATTCTCCTTTACACATTTAAAAAAACACCCATGGGTAAGGAGAAAATACAGGAGTAGCATAACAGTACTTGTAGACTGGAATTTCAGACACATGCATACCCATCTCTGCACACAAGGCAGAACCAAAAGCTGGACTCCATTTTGGCTACATTCAAATAAGTGTTCATCAACAGCAAAAAAAAATATATATATAATAATAATAAAACAAAACTTGTGAATTTCCATGCAAGAATTGATCCTCCATGATCTTCCACACTAGCAGTCCAAATTGGAAACACATCTCTCATCTGCTGGAAGGGAAAGGAAAGTAATCATTGACAGCTGTTAAAACTGTGCCATTAATGTCAGCACATTTCTTTGAGACCTAAAGTTCACTTCTTATTCTAAATTATTATATTCTCATATACCAACAATGAGATTAAAAGTGACTGATTACATCTCCTAGTATTATACACTCCCCTGTCTATTTGAACCATTAACTTTGACAAAGAATTTAATAAACTGTTATCTGCTATGGTTACTTTCTTGCACCAGTGCTGGTTAAGTATGAACCCTTAATAGTGCTTAGCTCCTGCCAAAATCAAAATAACTTGGCTGAAGTAAATATGAAATATCCATGCATAACACATAAAGGGTCACATAGCTAATGAAAGAATTTGCCAGCATTTAACAATCATTAATAATTACTGGTGCAAATAACAACACCCTTGCTTTAAAAATGTTGTCACACATCAGTTGCAGAAGTAAAGTTGCCTCCTTTATGTTTCACTTCACCCCTACTTAAAAAAAGGATTATGATTAAGTTATTAACAAAACTCACTTGATTACTGCCCTTCATTAAGATCAATGAAAAGGAATTCTAATATCTTCCCATTCAGTCATGAACATCTGACACACTAAGAGAAATTAACTCAAAACAAGCTGTCTGAATACTTTCTCATCAGAATGTTTTCTTTATACATAGACTGACAAATGGCATTCACTTCTGGGTATGAGAAACATGGTAAAGGAAATTTTACAAAATCCAAACATATGATATTGATGTATTTTCAATGTGTGAGAAATTCTCATATTCCAGTCATATCCAGAGAGATTAGAAATAACATTATTCATGAATTTACAAGCTTTACAAACTTCAACACACCACATTCAACATAACTGGCATTTGTTAAGTTCTATTCAAAATCATAACTTGATCACAATTTGAGGAATTCAATGTTCATGTGAACGTATAAAATGAACAATTCCAATCCAGTACATATTTTCTTACAAGAATTACCATAATAATGAATGATGTAGTCTTATGGTTACAATTTTTCTTTCCTCACATTCATATGATTACTGTCAGTTGGTAGTAAATAACTGCTTTGAAAATTAATACAACTTCAGTGCAAGTAATGTTAATTGTACCTCTCTGGATATGATCAATGTTACCTACTATGAATATAAGTGCAGTGCTCACAAGGCTACTCATATGAAAACATCATTCCAAAGTATGGCTGCATTTATAATTTTTCTTAATCTTTTATTTTAAGAGGAATCCAACACATCACTCTTAATAAGACTGAAGTGAATATTCATTAACCCCTGGTTCCTGAGACAGAGGTGTGGACAAACTGCTCAGAGAGTTGATGCTTCATTGCTAAAACGAACTGCCCTCTGGTGGCTGAGAAAGTTTCATATTCTCTTTCAATGTCATAATCCTTCGTAGCTCTTGTAATACAGTCTTAATTGTATAATCACGCTGCCATCTTGCCAGTACTGGAACAGCTCTATTATCAACCTATAAAAATAGAAAGAACCATAACCAAGAGTCAGTTTGTGAGATATGAGGTTCTCACATTGGTAACTATGAAGAGTCCTATCTTCTGGGATGTGATGCTGTAGAGTCTGGTAGTTCATCAAAGTTTCCAAGGAACATACTGCCTACATCTCCAGGGTCAAAGTGCAAGCAAGCAAGCAGTAAAGAGATAGCTTTGTTTTAATATTACTGAGAGTAAGAGACTTTGTTGGGGGCACGCGGTAGCGTAGTTGGTTGATGGGCTATGCTACACGCCGGAAGATCACAGGTTCAAATCCCGATGAGGTCATTGGATTTTTTCAATTGACCTAATCCTTCCAGCCACACTATGGGCCCAGGGCCGACTCAGCCTCTAACAGAAATGAGTACCAGGAATTAATTAAATAATTTTCCTGGGGAGTAAAGTGCAGCCGATGCGTAAGGCTGACAACATTACTGCCATCTTTGAGCCAATTGTCTAGATAATGTGGGACCCTCAACATCTCACAACCCTATGGGCATTCTCGGCCTCTTACAGGGATAGCTTTACTATTTTCTTTTACTTTTACTTTAATCTCCATGAGCGTTCAGTAAATCACCAGTGACTGGTAGCCCTCATGCATGTTCAGATGACTACTATTAAGAATATACAAATTTGGAAATGTGCAAATGACATGAAAATTTTAATAGCCCCCAAAACCTAAGACTTACAGAAAAAGTACAGTGAACAAAAAACATGCACTTCATTTTCCACTACTTCTCTTCAAAACATTTTTTTTTTTTGCTCAAATAAACGTCTTGAGTGTTACGCTTGAGATATGTGCAGAAATCATGTCTCTTCATACAAAGCATCCATTATTCTATTCTGATTTCTATTGGAATTTGTTGATAAATTTTAGTGTAACTCCCTGCTACCATTATTAATGGATATCCAACCACAGGTTAAGTTGTGTCATGCATAGAGACTGATGGAAAAAATGTATTATGCACTTTGCATGTTTGCAATCGAGCCTAAAACTAGTTCCTTTAATGTTATCACACTGAAGATTCAGTATGTATACCAACTTTCATTGTTCACTGACATCAGGTTTCAAGCTTCAGTAGAAATGCTGGACTCAGTAATAAGTACTGACTAAATTCTACTTACCATGCCGTTGGTAGTGTTGACACAATTCATATTGATCCTAGAAATAAACTTTGCACTTGGGCTTTCGTCCGGATATCGTTGCCCACATTCAATCTTTAGACTGTACATTCTGTTTTCATAAGGTGTCTGTGGAGGAAAAGAAAAATGTGCATTACATTCCACATGTGTATCTATGTAACCACACGCTGATTGTTATATTGACTGCCACAAGGGAGGGGTCATCCTGAGCACAGTTAATTTTGTCTCCACTGCTTGCAACAGAACAAAAGGCAGTCAGGAATCTGGGGCACCGAAGTACACACACAACAGTGCTTTAAACACTCAGGACAGTGATATGGCATGCTCTGACATGGATAGAAATAGTGAAGTTTGTTGTTCTGGAACTTTTCCCATTAAGTTACATTCCAAAGAAAAATATTTTCATTTCATATACATGTGCAGACTTCAGTGAAGAAAAACACATTTGTGTATATTACAACAGAGTAGCATGTCCAATTCATTAACAGAATATAACTCCACATGCAAGCTTAAACTGTTGAATAAAACAGACAAAATTATAATGAATTAGTTAAACCTACTATTTGAAAAAAGATGTATATTTCAACAATACAATACTAACAATCGTCAAACTTTTGGCTGAGTGCTAATGCTGTATGTGTAGAGATAAAATGGGATGTAAAAGAGGTATGTCTCGTACAGCAAGTTCTCATAATAATGGCAGTAACAGATTTCCCACTGCCAAGAACAGCTATATACTATATGCAAATCTCAAACCCAGAAGTTACACAATATCTTTTGTCATTTTAATTATAATTTCTGGGAATAATGAATATGATGAGTTTTGAAGACTAACCTCAAACAATGATCTACTTTTTTCAAACAGTTCAACCACATCAGAATTCAAGTACAAAGACCTCACCCAAACTCCAATGAAAAGCACGGGTCCATATACATACCTCATCTTTTAACTAAGTTAATTGCTGCCTACAAACCCACAACACGAACAATTTTATACACAGATCTTCTTCAGGACTACTGTATTTTTGAGCTCTGTCCATCATCCAGTATTCTAAAGAACTGATCTAAAACACAAGTTGACTCCGTATCACAGCAAGCCACTGAATCTATATAGCCTTCCCAAGATTCACAAACCAGACATTCCTCTCTGACCTATAGTGTGTTCTTGCCATCGAAACCATCCGTCAAGAATATGGGTTACTTCATAATTTATACATTGCACATATATACTGGTATTTCATGATAAATAATTATGAGGGAAAATGTTATATTTTAGCGTCCTGTTGCACTGATTTAAGTCCATGATTTATTTTATCCGTCTTCTAGTGCATACATTCATCTATCCCCTTCTTCTCACTCGCACTACATGTTTCGGCATAAAAGTGCCATCTTCAGG